TATAGATTATTATAGTAGGATATTCAACTATGCAAGAGCAACACACAAGTTTCTTGCTCGTTCTTCTTGTGATGAGACAGCTTTCCGAACGAGCGGTAGATTAAAAAATGTAATGACTATTCAAAAATGCTTCAATGTAAGTTTATTTGAATAAATGATTTTCTATTCTATTCTATTTATATGTATAGATGTATAGATTATTATAGTAGGATATTCAACTACTTTGATTTTCCACATTGGCGCTGCACTTAGTCATCGGAGTCGTATCAACCTATGCTAGTTGTTTGCAGTTGCCTTGACATTTCACAGCAACTCTATCGTTAGCTGCATGGGTGATTACGTCAGTCAATGAATGAATGATCAGGAAGTTTCTAATTTGAGGACTGACCCCATAGTTATCCACCTACGCTCTTGCAATTATTATTATGATTACAATACCGTCATCCTTTCATAGTAACTTTGGATAAAGTCGTTTTTTACTTATTTGTGCATTGCACAATAATAATAACCCTGAACTAATCATATATATATACTAGCTATCCCGGCAAACGTTGTTTTGCCATATAAATTAATAACGCTATAAAAAAATAGGGGTTGATGATAGAAGGGTGAAAATTTAGGATTGTATGTATTTTTGTATGTTGTATCATAAAAAAATAGAAACTAAAAATTTTTGTCTAAAAAATAAAATAAAAAAATTTAGGGGTGGACTACCCCTAATATTTAGGGGGATGAAAAATAGATGTTGGCCGATTCTCAGATCTACTCAATACGCTCACAAAATTTCATGAGAATCGGTCAAGCCGTTTCGGAGGAGTATGGGAACGAAAACTGTGACACGAGAATTTTATATATAATCTTGTAATTACATACATGATGTACATAGAAAACACTCAGACGAATACAAGCAATCATAGTCATCAATACAAATCTTTATACCATGGGAGGAATTGAACCTGCGACCATTGGAAGTAAAGCAGGTGCTAAACCGCTAAACCACTGAGACAATCATGGGTAAATGTTAGACTTACAAAACAAATTTACCTTCATTCCAATAAGTTAATTGGAATTTAGTTTCTAGATGCAGTTTTTTCTTATTAGATTATAATGGAGTGGCACCAGTGGAGGATGATAAGATGAGCATGAGCTCAGGCCAGTTAGCTCATCGTAGGGAAGTCACAAGGACGTTATCATGGTGGTTTCCAGGGAACAGGGAACCGTGTCGAGATCAACCTGACATGGTCGTAAAGCGATCAAATTCTATTACGTTATGAGATTAAAACAAGTGTAAATGCATTATGACCGCCTCGGTGGTCTAGCGGTTTACTTCCAATGGTCGCGGGTTCGATTCCTCGCACGGCACAAACATTTGTATTCATGAGTATGATTGTTTGCATCGGTCTGGGTATTTTCTACGTATAATATGTAGGTATTTATGTGTCGAAAAAAAAAACATATCTATGTATTTGTATCAGTTGTCTAGTACCCATAACACAAGCTTTATGTAGCTTAATTTGGTTCTAGATGGCGCTGTGTGAATTGTCCTGAGATTATTTATTTATTTATTATTATTAATAAAAGCAAGCAAATAATAATTGCTTAAGACATTTACAAAGAGAAGTTTATATGAGAAATATTATCGAGAATTGGATTAAATTATTTACATTAACAATGTATTAATATAAATGCATTCTTAAATAATATGTGCTTAATAGATTTTTATTTATTAATGAGGTGAAAATTGAAGGAAAGAGGGGGAGGGGAAGACCAAGGCATAGCTACATCAAACAAATTGAGGACAAAATGGGAGTCGTGTCGTATCAAGAATTAAAGAGCATGATTGAAGATCGCGGAAAGTGGCAAGAGCTCCACCGAAAAGAGCGTAGCTCTTAAATTATGAATGATAATAAATGAAATAGATTTATAAACAGTTTACATGAGAAATATAATCTATTATCCGTATATTAATATTCTCATGGCAACTCCGCATCGATGAAATAGATTACGTAAAGCAGAAAAACATGGTGTCTTTATGTAGTTGATATAGGTCGACCTCTATTATATACGTATACTAGCTGTCCCGACAAACGTTGTTTTGCCATATAAATTAATAACGCTATAAAAAAATAGGGGTTGGTGCTAGAAGAGTGAAAATTTAGGGTTGTATGTATATTATATAAAAAAAATTATTAATATTTTTTATTGTGCAATAACACAATAAAAAAATATAAATAAAAAATTTTGCTCAAAAATAAAGAAAATATTTTAGGGGTGGACAACCCTTATCACTTAGAGGTATGAAAAATAGATAGTAGCCGATTCTCAGACCGACCTTATACCGACTAGGTATTGCCTGCGGCTTCGCTCGCGTTAATGTATTCCGTTAGGGGTGGAATTTATAAAAATCCGTTCTTAGGGAGTGCCTACGTCATAGTAGCTTTATGCATGCAAAGTCTCAGCCCGATCGGTTTAAAATTGAAGTTTCATCCCCTATTTTATGCCCTCGGAGGTAGAATTAATCAAAATAATCCTTTCTTAGCGGATACCTACGTCATAACATCTACCTGCATGCCAAATTTCACCCGATCCGTCCAGTGGTTTGGGCTGTGCGTTGATAGATCACTACAACTAGAAAGAACCGTTTTATACAAAATGCATATGAATGTAAATACCGGACATACACCAATATAACATTTTCTACAATTTTTGTCTGTCTGTCTGTGTGTTTATTCCGGCTAATCTCTGAAATGGCTGAGCCAATATTAACGGGACTTTTATTCTACCTAACGGAACTATTATTGGCAGGTAGCTTATGTAATAAGGAGTAACTTAGGCTACTTTTATTTTAGAAAAATAAAGTTAAATCCACGCGGACGAAGTCGAGAGCACAGCTAGTTAGAAATTATTCATCAAACTATAACCTCAAATTATTGTACACGTATATTTTTTGTATTTAAAAAATAATATACGTAATTAACAATAAAAAAATGCCGGTCCGTATATTAGAAATAAGATTTTTCAACGTGTTAATAATCAAAACGTAAGAAAACAGTGAACAGAGATTAAGTGCGTAGCGATTTCTATGTTGATTGTCGCATGCCTAATCCTTGTTATTAATTAAATATAAATCAATATTTATTTAAAAGAGCAACACACAAGTTTCTTGCTTATTCTTCTTGTGATGAATCTGCATTCCGAATAAGCGGTAGAATAAAAAAACTTGACTATTCAAAAGTGTTTATATTAAGTTTATTTGAATAAAGATTATTTCTATTTCTATTTCTAAAAAAAATCATCCGTATCCTCACCTGTTTCGGATCGTGTGATTGGGCAACTAACATTCAAACATCTAAACTTTCACTTCTTATAATTATTAATGGGACTATAAAACACTGGCCTTTTGCATCTACATGCAAAAAAACATTGCATCACAGTAATATTACGAAACATATTCATAAAAAAATCAACTGTGGTAGTTATTCAATTAAATTAATAAAGATGTTTATAATTTATTTAAATAATGACTATAATTTAAGTAAATTAATATTAAATTAGAAGTTTCCCTGTCTTGTTTAATTGTTAAAATAAATATGACTTAAATCTTACATACATGTACATACATATATACATACATTACATGTAATACCTACAATTGATTAGTATCATAGATTTTATTTATGTATAAATATATAATAAGAAGAATCCTTTACTATGCACTTATCTATGCTTTTTATATATATATGTATGTTGATTTTTCTTTTATTATTATATTTTGTACTATTAGTTGCACATTTTCTTCATTTATTTAATAATCCTATGATTGTTTATTTATTGATTATATTATATCCCTCAGTACAGAGTGCCTTGTGGCAATGGCCCTCTCTAAAAACTCCTACTGAAGAAGGGTATCCAAAATATAGTAGACACTGGAAGGATTTATGGAGACCTTTGCCACAAGGCACTATAAGTATAAATATATAAAATATAAACTAGCTGTATAAATAACACATAGACAACTACAGGGTCTAGAAACATAAAATTTAAATTATGATAATATAAAATTTAACATTCCAAAAACGAGTATTTTAATCTGATAGCATTCTGCTCCGAATTTACTCAGCTGACAGTCAGTAAGTGTACAGATGCTATAAAAGCCTACCTAAACATTATGCAATGTAAACATTGAAGCCACTTCATTGGATACTTGCAAGATTTGACAAATAGCCCGACCAACCTTGAGACTAATCAAACCTCAGACATATGATATCCAACCTTATTCACACAGCAATTAAGTTCAAGTGTACAAGTTTAGAATGCACAGCTACAACTGTCATAACCTTCACTCTCATCACTTCATTCTGGCACCAGCCTCCACACACTACACACCTACTAGTGTAATACATAAACATGATCTATTTGAAAACTATTAAAATTACTAAATACCATTTATCACTTATAAAATAGGATGGGTGCCAATCTAGGTATACACCTAAATACTTGTGCAATATTATTGAATTTGATGAATTGATAATGCAAATTAAATGTTAATAATTCAATAGTTAGTTCAATTGATGACTTTCAAATAAATAAAGCGAAATAAAAGCGTTCAGATGGGAAATAAAAATTTCAAGAAGAGTTGTAGCAAATACATGACACCGAGTATGGACGATATCTGTACATTTAGGTGATGATCACACCAACGATGCCAATACTAAGCCATGGATGGGGCAATGTGAGGCTAAGTACATGGCTCACAACATCGAGGCAATGTGAACTGTGTTTGATGAGGAGGTTAACGCTGACACCTAGGCTGCCGGCTCACGTCCCGGACCAGCATGGTACCCTCTGGTGACTCGTGAGTGGGTTACTGGCTGATCAGAGGTGCGGTGGACGGTGAGCAGCAGAGGTGATCAGCGTGAGCGAGTGCGCGCGTGAGACATGCGCGCCACAACAACCACAAAGCTAATGAGGGGCGAACAGTGTGTTGACTGACGACTCACCGAAATGAGACGTAATATTGCCATGGCCGTTGGCCAGTGGCAAGGCCGTCACCAAGTCTTGCACTAAAAAACAACGACTCTTGTTTAACATTGTAAACAAAATTAGAAAATATCACGGTATTAAAGTATATCGGCCTGCAGCGGCCGGTAAGTATACGGCGCTCTAGCGCTTATCAATGTATTATAAAATTTTACACGGCAAGTTTATCATAGACATAGATTATGAACGTTCAGCCATCTAAATAAGTCAATAAAACTGTTCTGCATAATTCTGTCGCATAAAATTGTTCGATAACTGACAATTTACAGATCATAATGACCTTAGTTCACAAAAATAGGTCATACTGATAACAGATTCTGATAAGAATCTTGCAGGAATAGTGTAATGATAGCTGAATCGACCATAGCTCTCTGTCAATGTTATTGCTCGCTCGGTTTGCCCTGACAAGTAGGTGAGTACCTACGCAATGAAGTAAATCAACATAATGTAATAATAGATATAGTGCGTAGTACAAGACGCGGACTCACCGGAGCTGAAGTGCGATCTCTTGATATCACCATTTTCTGAATCGCCGTCAAGGGGTCGTTTCCTTGAGTCCGTGATTTCCGGACTAGGGCAAGTATCCATTCCTGTGTCAGCGGCCATGTTGAATTTCAGGGCAAAACTTTAAACTTCTCTAGCATAATTCCCATTACGTAATTGCTTCAGAATGCGTATACTGATGCGGCACTTTGCATTATATAAACATCATATGTTACACTTGACACTTAAACAACTTAAAACAAAGAAAATTGAGGATTTTGTATGGTCTAAAGACTAAAATAAGGAGAGAAGTTACACTATAAGGTGTTACGTCTAAACGTTTTATGAACGTTTGGCGATACTGCGGTTTGCGGGTGTTGTGTTGCGCACAACCGACATGAAGTTTGACGCTACGCTATGTTGGTAGTCCTGAATTTAGACAGCAACCAGCTGATTATTCTAGTGATGTCTTTACAATAACATTTTTATTTAGTTTTCTTTTATTTTTTGTTTGTACTTTAATTAAAGTGTTAAATTAATGACGACACGTCTACTAAGAAAGAAAGAAAATACTGATACTCTCTTTCAAAGGTAATATTATATTGTACTTTAAAAATATTTAACAAAAAATATTTTTACATATTTCATATATTTATTTAAATTCAATTAAATCAAAATATTTTAATCATGTAGGTCTATTAAAAATAATTATTATAAGAAGAACTAATAAGAAACTCGAATCATTTTTTTAATAAGATTGTACGGAGTTGAAAATCTAAATTTAATCAAAAATGCTCAGTATAAATATTACAAAGTAATGCTGAATAAATGTGTTTTATACTTATTCTTCAATTAATCTTTATATTGAAATTAATTTAATGTATATATTTCTATAACAAAAGACTATTTTAGAAATTAGAATGCAAATTGTCGTGAAGCCATTAAATATAAGAAGAAGATTTTAGTTACATTTTATCTATCAAATAGTCGTGTATAATTTTTAGTTTATTAAAGCCTAATAATGGGTAAATCTAGTTTTAATTAATAATTCAACACTATATTCATATCACAAATGTTAATTAAATAAAATAGTTAAATTATCGTACAAAGTATTGGCTACAACACTAAAAGTACATAATGCGTCAAGGTCACCCACTCGCCAATCACAAAATGTTACTAACTTCAGTCACATTGCGATGAAGTTTGTCAGAGGCTTCGCGGGTTATTTGAATGAAATTTTTATGTTTTGCAAAACTATCTTCATTCAATTGCTTGATTGAATATCAAGTATTATATTTAATACATTGGGCATAAATATTTATTTTAGTAATTTAAAATAAATTGTGCCTTACTTGCCTAAAATAACTTATAATTCCTTTGTGTAAGATAATTATTTAATTCTTTTTTATTATATTTTTTTTTACGTAACTGGAATGAACAGTCAGCTACTTACTTGCAGCTGACTGCCCATATGGTGGTCACTGACCTTTCAATCATCATCTACAAGAACACCACTCTATAACTACCCTAACTGGAGTAAATAGTTTTAAAAGCATTTTTCTATCATTAATACCATTCGATGGGATTGATGGCATACTAAACACATTTATTATTATTATTAGCTACACATGTACACCTGGCTTCGCACGGGTGTACATGTTATATATATATTATTATTACATAGTATAAAATAAAGTCGCTGTCGCTGTGTGTCCTTATATATGCTTAAATCTTTAAAATTACGCAACGGATTTTGAAGCGCTTTTTCTTTAATAGATAGTGATTGTAAAGGAACGTTTATATATATAATACATGTACACCCGTGCAAAGCCGGGGCGATAGCTAGTATTTGAATAAAAATATAGACCTGTGGTACAGACAAATGGAATAAATTCGAGATAGACAGCGTGACGGTTCAACTGGCAACTGTCAGTGTTTATAGTTTGCTGTATGTAGGTCAAGGCGTTAGTATTCCTTTCTCGCTTCTGCAATTGGTTACTATTATATTATATATATAGAACTAGCTGCTCCACCGACTTCGTCCGCGTAGAAATTAACTTTATTTTTCTAAAATAAAAGTAGCCTATGTTACTCACTTAACATCAGCTACCTGCTAATAAAACTCCCGTCAAAATCGGTCCAGCCATTTCAGAGATTACCCGGATCAACTACACAGTCAGGCAGATAGACAAAAATTGAAAATTATTATTATATAGTATTTCGATGTATGTACCGTATTTATATTCATATGCATGTAGTAAAAAACGGTTATTTCAATGTTACAAACAGACATTTCCATTTTATTTATATATATAGATAAATCATCTATATATATATATCAGGAATGCGTGTTTACAGCCTACGGCGTCCATAGGCTACGGTAACTGATTACCATCAGATGGATTTATATAGTAGCTGTACCGGCAAACATTGATTTGCCATATAAATTTAAGTACTAATATCAATTAACAAATAGGGGTTGATGGTAGAATATACACATGTTATATATTGAATTTCTTGCCAGTTCTTCTCAATTGGATCTATATAGTAAACTAGACGATAGAGAAATAAATATAATATAAAAAAAATTACGTTCATAAGCGGCTAAAGTGTCCTACATGAATTAATTTTAATTAATAAACAAATATTGTCCTAAAAAAATATTAGGATTGGACAACCCTTATTACGTAGGGGTATGCAAAATAGATAGTAGGCGATTCTCAGACCTACTGAATATGGAATGAATTTCATAAAAATCGGTCAAGCCGTTTCGGATAAGTATGGTAACTAACATTGTGACACGAGAATTTTATATATAAGATTAACTACTAACTGTAACAGTCTGCATGGATAACTCTGTCTTATCGAGGGGAGGGTATTGTTAGTAATGGTACAGATAATATATGTAATATAGACTGGGGGAAGAGGAACAGATAATACAATATAGACGGATGGAAGGAAATTATTAGTAATAGGAACTAGTAATCCCCATTGCTAACAATGTACCATATTAGGTTAACCTCCACGCGGCACCTCCTTCCCCCTGGAAACCTGCAGTTTCCAGCAGGAAACCATCGTGATAGATTCCTGTTGAATTTGTCATGATGGGCTAACTGACCTGACCTCATACTCATCTTATCCTCCACTGATGCCCCGCCAGCGTAAACCGTTAGCGCAGGCGGGTGCACCATTACATTACCATCCAACGCACTTTCGCTGTTGACCTCCACGCGGTTCCCCCTGGAAACCATCGTGATAAATTCTTGGTGAATTTGTCACGATGGGCTAACTGACCTGACATCATGCTCATCTTATCATCCTCCAATGGTGCCCTGACAGCGTAAACCGTTAGCGTAGGCGGGTGCACCATTACATTACCATCCAACGCACTTTCGCTGTTGACTTCCACGCGGTTCCCCCTGGAAACCATCGTGATAAATTCTTGGTGAATTTGTCACGACGGGTTAACTGACCTGACATTATGCTCATCTTATCATCCTCCACTGGTGCCCCGCCAGCGTAAACCGTTAGCGCAGGCGGGTGCACCATTACATTACCATCCAACGCATTTTCCCCGGGGGGTAGGGGATTGTTAGTAATGTGGACTGATGATCCCATTACTATAAATGTACCATATTAGATCGACCTCCACGCGGTTCCCTCTGGAAACCATCGTGATAAATTTGCGGTGAATTTGTCACAATGGGCTAATTAATCTGACTTCATGTTCATCTTATTCTCCACTGGTGTCCCGCCAGCATACACCGTTAGCGCAGGCGGAAGCACCATCCATATTTATATAGGCGGTGGTAAATCACTTAAAAGTGAAATTTGCCCCCTGTCTCGCAGGTTCGCTCGTTGTTCGACTAAAGACGCAACATTCTGAAAACATTATTACATTGAACTCGCAGAGCGCTGCATGCTTTCTATGTATAATTAACCCACAGGCTGCTCGTGTAGAAAGATTGGCAATAAGCTTGTGTGTGTGTTGTTAACTATACACAGCAGGCATACAGCTCTCTGCCAGGTCAATACAATAATGTTTTCAGGATGTTGTTGCGTTTGCCGCGCTTTTGTATTTTTATTTAAGGAAAACCAAGGCTATTCAAGTAAATCTTAAATAAAATCAATATATATGTCACAGTAAGCCACTGACAGGCTCTCACTAATAACAATAGACTAATTCTTAAAAAATTTACATCACTACGTATAAAGGCATTATAAAGTTAACAGAGAATATGAAATTAATTAACAAGAGTACAGTAACAAATAGTAAATTTATAGAAATATATACGTATACATGATTTTCAATAATAATTAATTGTTATTTAAAGAAGGGCTCACTTAGTTGGTGTCTCGTTGATTTAATATTATTACAAAATATATCTATATTAACTGTTTTAGATAGTTTATTAAAATTGTTGCTCGCTCGCCAAATGAATTCTGCTTATAGTTCGATGACACTAGGGGAACAGATAGAAGAGGATTGTGCCTTGTTGATACTCGTGGTACATTAATGGATAATTTACCCAGGAGATTCCTATTTCATTGCATCCACAATGTTTGCAGCACCATCTACAGACGACCTGTATGCCATCAGGCGATCATCTCTATTGCACAGACTGCGCGGCAACAGTAACAGCATTCTAAAAATGATGTGCAATAAATTTGACAGCCCAATACTTTGTTTTTGGACCCAAATTGTTACCCTTAAATGATAATATGTAATTTTAGGTATATTAACATAGGCTAAGTACAATTGTTACTAACAAATTGGATGCTCTTATCTGAATAAATAAAATTTAAATAAATAAAAGAAAGAAGAAACCATACTATATCCCTTTCGATTGTAAGTGAGCGGGGGCCCTTAAATGATAACATGTAATTTTAGGTATACTAACATAGGCTAAGTACAATTGTTACTAACAAATTGAAAATAAAAAGGAACCATAAATATCCGTTTCGATTGTAAGGTGTGGATGTAAATCACTTAAAAAAAACTATCACTCAGAAAACTGTGCCGTGATGTGTCTGCACTTCAAATGCAGGGTAATGCACCTTGCATTACCCTGCATTTGAAGTGTCAGCCTGCTAGTGTCACCAGAACTTTATGTTTGATGTTTATTTATGGTAGTATGTCGTAAATGTTTACTCTGTGTTATCCGCCTAGGTCTATGTATGTATGTGTATTATTATTATTTTATTACATTTATTATATATGAAGGTTCAGCGTCGTGGCACCCCGTCGTATGTTCTGTAAAATTGATATAAACCGATAAAATGTAAATTAAAATTTATAAATTATTTTCAGTGTACCAAATAAACTATTTTCTTTCTTTCTTTCTTTTCTTTCAGATACAGTAATTTTAATATTGTTTTAATTAATTCTGTAATATATTCACAAAATACATACTTACTTTTAATATTGTTTTAATTAATTCTGTAATATTTCGACGGTTAAATAGAAAAATGTCAGTATTCAAAATGTACATTTTTGTCTTGTCTTATAGACAAGCATTTAAAGTTTTTAAATTTATTTAAATTATTTTTCCCTTTAAAGTTTTAAATTTACACAGAAGTATTATATATCATTTTAAAAGTATTTACATAATGATTAAGACGAAGTGGTTAATTTAATGGACTTATATCAGAGGAGGTAATTCCAGCTTCTAATTTTGAAAAATGTCATTTTTCTAAAAACCAATTTGATAAACGACAGGGCGTTTTACGGGAAAAAAATTAAAAACGACATACCATTAGTGAATTTATTTATTAAAATACAAACTCGGTACAAGTTAAAATATATTGGTAAGATCGTGTATCACTGCCTTATTCTAAGGCTGACTGTACACTAACGTCCGTCGACATTTGAAACGTTTTATAATCTACCGCACCTTGTCAACATTATAAACTTCTAGCTGTTTTGCCATATAAATTAAAATGGCTATTAAAAAAATAGGGGTTGGTTATAGAAGGCTGAATATTTTGGGTCGTGTGTATTTCTTAATGCCACTTTATAATGATATAAAAAAATATTAGGGGTGAACAACCCTTATTTCTTAGGGGTATGAAAAATAGTAGCAGCTTGTCAGACCTACTGAATATGCATAAAAAAAATCAGTCAAGCTGTTTCGGCGGAATATGGTAACTAACATTGAGACATGAGAATTTTATATATAAGATATATTTGTTAGTTAAAATTATAGGTCCTTCATGTTCAAATTTGGTAGAAACGAGTCCAGTTGAAAATTAACGCCCACGGGACCTGTCGATCCAGTTCTTTTGCCGCCTTTAAATGTATTTTCTTTTATGTAATTTGATTGGCAGCAGTAAATTATCATTATTACATAGTATAAAGTCGCTGTCGCTGTCTGTCCGTCCCTACGTATGCTTAAATCTTTAAAACTACGCAACGCCAAAAAGTCCCGTCAAAATCGGTCCAGCCATTTCAGAGATTAGCCGAAACGATAAAAAATGTTATTTCGGTATAAGTATCGTATATATATTCATATGGATATAGTAAAAACGGTTATTTCAATGTTACAAGCAGACACTCCAATTTTATTTATATGTATAGATAAAGTAAAATATTATATATATATAATGCCTACAAAAACAATATTTTGAGTATTACTTTCCAAAATTATAAACAGAAAATATCTCTAAAACAAAATATTTACTATACTTCATTTATTATTGTCTATTGTGGTCGCTCGAGGTAGCAAAGCTCGGTCGTCCATGTACTCTGTAATATACATTAGTTTTGAGTCGACAGCGTACGATATGTCGTGTGGAACCATTTTTTACATCTGCAATGGCATCATTTAATCATGCATACGCCCTAACTGATGGTAAACGGTTACCTATGGACGCCTAAGACACCACTACCGTGTACGACATTGTACAGTAAATTATAAAATCCCATAACAAACCAGCCTGCTAGTGAAACACTTTCAAAGATGTAGAACAACGAAACAATTACCTAAATAAGAGACTCATTTACTGAACTACTATTTCCTGGGTGTAATTAAACTTGGCTAAAACATAATTTTGTTATATTAAAATTATCACCGATGTAAATAACATAATATATATTAATATTGATACAAAAATAACATTGCAGTCCTCAAATTGCATTTATATAAGTTTAAAAGGTCCTATTTATTTATTTAATACTAGCTATTTCCGCGACTACGTTCGCATGGATTTTAACTTTCTTTTTCTAAAATATAAGTAGCCTAAGTTACTCCTTATTAGATTAGGTACCTGCCAATAAAAGTCCTGTCAAAATCGGTCTAGCCATTTCAGAGATTAGCCGAAACAAACTGACAGGCAGACAGATAAAAATTGTAAAAAATGTTATTTTGGTATATGTACCATATACATTTATATTCATATGTATGTAGTAAAAATGGTTATTTCAATATCACAAACAGACACTTCAATTTTATTTATATGTATAGATTACTCGCTCATCTCAATTAATCTAAAGAGTTCTTATCTTATATAGGAATGGGTATTAATTTCTAAATTTTTTTGTATTTACTTTTTAATATATTTATTTTATGGAGAAATATTGAATTATATTGAACGACTATTCGGAAGACGAGTTTGGATGGCGTCAGTTGTTCAAACAAGGAATCTTCTATATTTCATATATATTACACATATACACTACTTAAACTCTATATTATACTTTTAAAAATTAAAACTGATTAAAATATATAATAATATAAGAGACGTGAAATATAATAACATAACTCCGAGAGGTTACCTTTATTTGGCGTAAAAACTCCGAGAGGTTACCTTTATACGGTAGGGAAAAAAATAAAATTATAATGTAAAAATTTTATTCATAAGCGGCTAAAATGTCCTACATGAATAAATGATTTTTGAATTTGAATTTGAATTTATGCTTACGTAAAATTTCTCGATTAATGTACCTTTTTTTAGCAAAGAAAATTATTCGTGTTAAGACCCGATTAATAATGTAAATAAGTTTAAGTTTTTAACGAAACTTATTATAGAACTAGCTGGGTCATTAATATCTTCTATTAATATTTTAATTGTGCATGCATCATCTAAATGTGGCTGGCCATTGTCACTCGCTCTTACTGTTATATATGCTTCTTTTTCTCTCCTTCGTCAGCGTAGAACTTAACTTTATTTTTCTAAAATGAAAGTAGCCTAAGTTACTCCTTTTTACATCAGCTACCTGCCAATAAAAGTCCCGTCAAAATCGGTCCAACCATTTCAGAGATTAGCCGGAACAAACATACAGACAGACAGAGGAACAATAATTGTAAAAAAATGTTATTTTGGTGTATATACCGTATTTATATACATATGCATGTAGTAAAAAACGGTTATTTCAATATTACAAACAGACACTCCAATTTTATTTAGATAATATCATAAAATGGCAATATTATATAGTAAATTATATTCATGATTTATTAATAGATACATAGAGAATCACAAGCATTTCGTTCGTTTGGAGTTGAAAGCGTTTCACTATTAGTCTCGAATATAACCCATAACGTAACCTCGGCAAATGCTGTCATATTCCGGCTGCTTACTGATTGGTCGAAACGATACAAATACTTCTATAGTGGGGCGAAAGAGATTGTTAACAATGGGAACTAGTAACACCCATTGCCAGCAATGTACCATATTAGGTCGACCTCCACGTGGTTCTCCCTGGAAACCATCGTGATAAATTCTTGGTGAATCTGTCACGATCGGCTAACTGACCTGACCTCATGCTCGTCTTATCATCCTCCACTGGTGCCCCGCCAGCGTAAACCGTTAGCGCAGGCGGTGCACCATTCCATTATCTTCATTTAAAAAAAAAACAGTGTAAGAACTGAAATGTATTTTACTTTTGTTCTGGCAATAAATGAATATTATTATTATTCCTGGCTATAATAAGTGATGCAAAACATAAGCACTTCATGAATCGGTGCACCAGTGGACTGGTGTCGACAGCAGCTCTAGCGGCAACGGTACCAGCGCCTATATATATATATTATATACAAAATATACAAATTTAACCCGAAAAATTGCGACTCTGAAGTGTCAATGGGCAGAGCACATAGCTCGTAGGACAGATGGCCGATGGGGTCGTAAAGTCCTCGAGTGGCGACCACGGACCGGAAGACGCAGCGTGGGAAGGCCTCCAGCAAGGTGGACCGACGATCTGATCAAGATCGCTGGAAGACATTGGATGCGAGCAGCGCAGAACTGATCGTCGTGGAGATCTTTGGGGGAGTCCTATGTCCAGCAGTGGACGTCTTCCGGGCTGCGATGATACAAATTTATATATTTTTTAACTTTTATCGAGGTAGACTTCGTAAAATTACTCATTCTTAAGTAAATTGCGAATACTAATGATTATCACATAGTAATTTTTAGTAGCTATGACGTGGCCGACTGTTTTGAGTAGTCATGCTCAGTAAATGTTCAAATATGTGGAGATATGTGGGCTGGGTTATTAGGCTCTCTAAAATATGGTCGAGTGCAGTGATGGCTGGCGCATACGTCATACTCGTGAACGAGTGCTGCTTGCAGCGACTGCTCTATTCATAATTAATTAGTGCTAGTTGGTAGTTTGTATTCAGACATTATAAATTAAAAATGTATAGTTACAATAATTATTTAAAAGAGCAACGATCGTTCTTCTTGCGATGAGACGAGACCGAATGAGCGGTAGATTTAAAAAAAAAGTTGTTTAAATTTAGGTTTATTTGAATAAAGAATTTTTTTATTATATTGTCAAGGAAAATTACTAAGTATGCAGGGATGTTGGTTGGTATTAAAAATCTGATTTTGTATTCTATTATATATGTACTAGAGTTGCAAATCGTTTGATTCATCTATCTATGCGTATAAACGTATTAAAAACATAACCAATACGTTTGTATTGATGTTTTAACGGTTATTTACAACATTAATTATATAAATATCAGTGTACCGACCAATCAGGAAGTTGCTTTAAAATCTAATTACACAATTTGGCACTTAATCGGTTGGACCGGTGTGCAGTTCGATGTGTGCATTTCTACATTCACTAAACAACCAGCCTTACTTCATCGGATCCAATCGATCGGGTGCCAATCGGGTTTATACTCTTTTACATGAGAACTAGGTAAGTACGTCCGCGGGGCGGTGCTATCGCGCGGGCGCGAGGCTGGCCAGGGGCGGCGGCGGCGCCCCGGGGGCTCCGGGGGCGGCCCCCAGGGGCACCAGCCCGTACGTGAGCCACCACGACAGCAGCGGCTGCACCACCGACACGAACAGCAGGAAGTACACGCGGCGCTTGGTCCCGGCGCCGCCTCCCCCCCCGCCGCCCCCCCGCGCCCCCCACGCGTCCACGTAGGGGTTGGCGCCCCCGTACGGCGCCTGGTACCCGTACGGTGTCTGCTCCGGGACGGCACTCTGCGACCCCGCCAATACTTGCACCCTTAGGGTTTTAACCTGAAAATTTGATCATTGCTATTTTTAAGACGGTAGGGAAAAATTATTAATTTAAAAAACTAGTTTTTCATAAGCGGCTAAAATGGCCTACATTAATAAATTACTTTTTATTTGATATTGTAATAGAAATTGTTAGGGAGAACGAGGGGATTGTTAGCAATGTGAACTGATGATATAATTGCTAGCAATGTACCATGTCAGGTTGACTTCCACGCGGTATCCTCTGGAAACAATCGTGATAAATTCCTGATGAATTTGTCACCAGTAGGTCAGGTCAGTTATGAGCTAACGGACTTGACTTCCTGTCCGACCAGCGTAAGAGACTAAATCATTCCATTAAAGAAAAATAGCAATTGATAAAATTGAACGAGAGAATTGAGTGTGCTTAACAACCAGAACACCAAAGCTGTCTATATCAAATAGAATTAAGCTACGAATACGCAACTCACCAAGAAGTAAGATAGTGTACAACTAGTGTAGACGAGACAACAGTAGTACCCCGTCTTGCCCAACAGCAGCCCGGCCAGCAGGCTGCCGATCATCACCGCATACTTGTACCCGGAGAAGGCCAGCAGATCCAACGTCTTCAGGTTGGTGCTGGTACTCGTGATGTATAGCGTCAGCAGGTAGATCACCATTTCAAATATTATATACGCGAGAGCACTTGATGCTTGTATGCCTATTTGTTCTGGTGAAAATCGGTGTTGGAGACCTGGAATATATAATTATTTAAATAAAGTGACTATAGTGTATTTTTTAATTTCAGAGACAAAATTGACAGATGTTCGCATGAACACTGCTAGCGGGGACGAAGTGACTTTGATGGACTGTGCGGCACGACCGGGGAACAGCGCCCCGCACCGATTAACTTTCACTTGCCACTGCACCATCCGGCTCGAAGGACCATCATTGAGATCCTACTCCTCGGGGATGAATCAAACTTGGGTGGAATGATATGATGTTAATGTCAAATTTTCAATTAAATTTTGACAGCAATTTGAACCGAGAGCACATCCAGACGCAGATCCATAGTGAACCAAGAGGAAACGAGATTTTCTTTTACACGTTTGTGAGACCGCTGCTCAAGCTACCCTCGGAACTGCAGCTGAATTTCGATAGGATTCATAGTTCAACTATTTTAACCACCTTTGACGATGTCTCTGGCTCGAACCGAACTCGAACCTCGAGTCGATGTTTAAAGTTGTTGCTGGCAGCTAGTACACTTTTTTTTTTATAAATATTGTATTATTTTTATATATGTTTTGTAATATATCACTTTCGCAAGCTTCTTTGTGAGCTCTCTTGGGAATTATACACATATAAGACGAATATTACGGCCTCGGTGGTCTAGCGGTTTAGCACACCGCCTTACTACCGATGGTCGCGGGTTCGATTCCTCGCACGGCACAAACATTTGTATTCATGAGTATGATTGTTTGTATCGGTCTGGGTGTTTTCTATGTATAATATGTATGTATTTACGAAAAAAAAATATCTTTATCTTAATATTTGTATCAGTTGTCTAGTACCCATAATACAAGCTTTAGCTAGCTTAACTTAGATCTAGATGGCGCTGTGTGAATTGTCCTGAGGTTATTATTATTATATATTCGGTTTTTTAATAAATAGTTGTTGTGCCCCCGCTGCAGTCACAAAGGTGTTCATACATATAGCATAGTCTACATCACACTTGATATCTTTTTTATTTATAGCCTATGGGTTATTCTAATGTATAGAATAGAATAGAATAGAAAATCATTTATTCAAATAAACTTACATTGAAGCACTTTTGAATAGTCATTACATTTTTTAATCTACCGCTCGTTCGGAAAGCTGTCTCATCACAAGAAGAACGAGCAAGAAACTTGCGTGTTGCTCTTTTAAATAATTTTATTATTACTTTACATTTTTAAGTTTAAGTGTGTGAATAATTAGCACTAATTCACTTAAAAACTCACATAGAAAAAAATATTGAATATATAACCCACTGGTTAAACAATTAATAAGAGGAAATCAGTCATAGTGATTAGAGCAGACCAGTCCCTAAGCTATATTGCTATATGCATAAGCTATATTGCTGTAAAGTTGTATTATTAAATCCGTTCAGTAGTTTTTGCGTGAAGTATGAAAGTGGCACCGATGTCGGAGAAGTTAAAGAGTAATCGTCTATCGTGGTATGGACATGTAATGCGTAGGAATGAAGATCATATCCTAAGGACGGTGTTACATATAAATGTGGATGGTTATAAGGGCAAAAGAAGATCGAAAAAGAGATGGATGGACTGTGTGAAAGATGATATGGTAAGAAAGGAAGTAAATAACGCGATGACTGCGAACAGAGATGAATGGAAGAGAAAAACATATTACGCCGACCACAAATAAATGAGATGAGGAAGAAGCAGATGATGAGTTTTTGCGTGAAGGAGTAACAAACATTTCTATCCATCGATTCTCACAAACTTTCTCGATTATAATATTAGTAAGATTATATCTTATTGTCTTTGTTAGATTAGATTAGATATAGATAGATTAGAATAATTTAGAATCACTCACCAAGCATGAACCCAGCGAGCAGCACATAAGTGACATACCCCATGGAGGGTATATAAAGGTCGGGAGCATTGATATCGTACCGCGGCTGCACTGGCGAGTCCTGGTCATATTTCACCATCCACTCCTGTAAATACAACAAAATCATTTTAATACAAGTAATGAATGAATGAATGAAAAACACTTTATTGTTCCTCTCACAGAAAGAGTAATTACATAAATTAATATGTACATTAAATATGATACAACAATAATAACAAAATAATTATAATATAGAGGTATCCCCACAATGGGCGGCCAGTGCGGTTTCAGAGGAGTTTCCTCCCGCGTTATCGTTTTCCCACGAGACTACAGCATGGGATTTTTAAATAGCGATTTCTTCCTGGCAACCTTAGGATGGAGAGGAGTGATTAGACTATACCTGGTAAAAGGTATAACAATTAGTTATTGGATGTACAATTTACATATCATATACACATACATATAACTACATAATAATCATTATATATAAAATATACATACACACATGTATATATATATATACATATAAATAAATTAAATAATATCTATACAATAGCGACGTTACTATGCAGATAAGTTTCGTGAATAATATTTTTTAACGCTCGAATACTCAGTTACAAACATTCTCGTGTTACAATAGAGATAACTCTAAACCTTATTATAAAATAAGGTTTATGTAGAGTAAGGATGTTATGGATATGAAATTTTGGATACGGATAGGTTTCGGATATAGCAATGATTATTATACCGGATACGGATGCGGATATGACAGACATGCGGAGCCCAATGACAATGTTAGTTACCATACTCCTCCCAAACGGCTTGACCGATTTTTATGAAATTTTATATGCATATTCAGTAGGTCTGAGAATCGGCTACTATCTATTTTTCATACCCCTAAATGATAAGGGTTGTCCACCCCTAACATTATGTTTTGGGCAAAATTGTTAACTTATATTTTTTTAAGTGTCATTAAAAAATACATACAACCCTAAATTTGCACCCTTCTATCACCAACCCGTATTTTTTATTATTTATTAATTTATATGGCAATACAACGTTTGCCGGGACAGCTAGTAAATTGAATTTTTTTTAATTTTATTATTGAATAACTCTATTTCTGAAAACTAGATTAAAATAGGACGATCTCGCTGGTCTAGCGGTTTAGCAAACCGCTTTAAGTCCGATGGTCGCGAGTTCGATTCCTCGCACGGTGATATGATGATATAAGATTGTTTGTGTATAGGTCTGGGTGTTTATGTATAATATGTATGTATTTACGAAAAATAATATACATATGTATTTGGCTAACTTGGGTATAGATGGCGCGGTGTAAATTGTGCTGAGATGAAATAAAATCCGTTACACAATTTAAAAGATAGCGAACAGACGCCGGTGACGACTTTTTTATACTATGTAATGATTAAGTAACATATAACGAACCTTGTGTGTAAATGGAAATATTATGAGGAGCAGTTTCTTGAAGACATATCTGGTGTCCACCGCGAAGTAATACCGCAACCGTGAGACAGGTACATACTTGTTCAGCTCCCGCTGCACCGCCTCGCGGCCCTGGGTCGCCAGTTGGTTTCCATATTGCAGTGCCATGTCCTAAAAGAGATGTCATTTAAACTCACGTGGATGAAAAATATATATTAGTTACTAGCTGTTCCCGCGACATCGTCCGCGTGGAATTTAACTTTAATTTTCTTAAATAAGAATAGTAAGTAACTAAGTAATAGTTACTGCTTATTACGTCAACTACCTGCCAAAAACAGTCCCGTCAAAATCGGTCTAGCCATTTCAGAGATTAGCCGGAACAAACAGACAGACAAAAATTGTAAAAAATGTTATGTTGGTGTATGTACCGTATTTATATTCATATGCATGTAGTAAAAAACAGTTATTTCAATATTACAAACAGACACTCCAATTTTTTATATATACCTTAGCATATACCCAGTCCAACTCCATTTTAAATGGTTTATTCAAGAGAATAAATCTGTTACTTTTGTTCTGTCTGATTTTCTTTGTGTGAAATAACAAACAAACATTACTGTTTATAATATTAGTAATAGATATAGAATATTACAATATTAATATCAATTTTAGAATATCATAAACAAGCTATTATACCTGAACAATAGGTTGCTGCAACATTGATCCTATTTGAGCGGGTGATGTCATAGCAGCCTGTGGAAAACCACCCATGTAGCCATAATCTGCAAATTTAAAATCAAATATATTGAATATAATAATAATAATCTCAGGACAATTCACACAGTGCCATCTAGACCCAAGTTAAGCTAGCTAAAGCTTGTGTTATGGGTGCTAGATAACTGATACAAATACATAGTTAATTTATTTTTAATATTAGTGCCTAGTATTAGTAATTACACCTATACCATATCTGTTCATAGTCTCCAACTGATCGCAGGATAGATACAGAGAAAAAAAGATAGACTAGGGACTTGCCCTGGTTTCATGTAATGTATCATAACTTTGCGGAGGAGATAGTTAGTAATGTGGGCTGATGACCACATTACACCAATGTACCATGTCAGGTGACCTTTCTACAGTTCCCCTGGAAACCATTACGATGTTTTGGGCAATGCAACACAATGGGCAAACTGACCCGATGTCTTGCTCACTTCATTATATTTTACTAGTGTCAGCATAAACTGTTAGCCGTAAACTACAACATAAAGAATAAAAATGTCGTAATCTAACTGAAAATAAATATTAATCTAAAATGGACAGTTTGCTGCTTCTGGATACTATTGACTGCAATTAGCAGTACTTTTAAGCCAGAATGATGCTGTATATTATGTTGTAGTTTATTCATGTAGTAATAAGAAAAGACTAGGTAAATGGAAAAAATATATATTAATATAGACTACTGACATAACAGAATAGAATGAAAGTGAAGCAACAAACAAGAATCTACAAAAGGAACTATAAATTTTAAATACAAATTTAGAATATCAAACATTTCTTCATTAGCCAGTTACAACATATTATGGTAGCATAAGATAACACAGAATCTCTATGATCTTATCTCTGTTCAATAAATCATTACATAGTATAAAAATCTCTGTAAAATAAAGTTATGCTCTAGTTTCTTAACACCTTCAAAGCCAGACCCTAAGTCACCGTTTTAAAAAAAACATCTATAAAATTTTTGTAAAATTACTGATTCCCAAATAATTCACATCAGAAATTTGGGACAGGCTAGGGCTTCCATTTGTGTAATATATGTACAGAGAATGTGTTTCTAAAGGATACACGGCGCGTTTACTAAGTAGAAAGATATTGTATTGTGTATACTTTTGAATACATAGTGTTCCAGACACTGTGTGACAAAAAGATGCACATGGTGCCTAAGGTCAGAACAAATTTCTTTAAACAGGTTAATATATACATTAATAAAAATTGTTACTGGATGTTTTAGCTGTCATGTTAGAGTATCCAATAAGTAGTGTAATTTACACTAAGTATCATACTGTAGATTAATTTGACTTGTCATAAGTGTCTGTGATGGACCTACATGAATAAAGCTATATTTGATTGATTGAATATTTAAGTTTAAGCTGAATACAGCACCAGCCTATATTATTTTATATATAATAGAATAGAATAGAATAGAAAATCATTTATTCAAATAAACTTAATTTAAGCACTTTTGAATAGTCATAACAATTTGTTTTTTATCTACCACTCGTTCGGAAACCTGTCTCATCACAAGAAGAACGAGCAAGAAACTTGTGTGTTGCTCTTTTAAATAATCCTTGTAAGTTTACATTTACAAGTCGAAACGTGTGAATACAAACTACAAACAAGCACAAATTTTTGGGTCAAATATAAATATGCAATAAGATTAAATCAGTCGTAGTGATAAGAGCAGACCAGTCCCTACAAGCAGCACTCGTTTCATGCGTATGACAGATGAACCAGCCATCACTGCGATCAACCATATTTTAGGGAGCCCAATGACCCGGCCCACCACGCCGCCACATGTCTGGACATTTTAGTGATCATATATCAAGAAAGCAGTATGAAAATTAAAATTATAACGTATATAAATAATCATTGTCAATTTAAATAGCAGTTCTAACCAGATTCATTCATTTATACCATTTATACAACTAACGATATAATTATAGACTGTATTATTAAACAATAATGTTATCTCTCACTTGCAGGAGGTATTGGCGAACCAAAGTCCGGAGGAGTTTCTAGTTGGATCCCCTCTTGGTAGGCAGGCGGCGGGGTTGCCTGTGCGTACGGTGCACTGTACGCCGGCCCCGGGCTGAAAGCAGGCGCCGGTGTTGGGGACCCCATCGCCGAAACATCGCTAACTCGTTTCGCCTTCCGTATGCCCCCAGACTGATTAACTAGAGTAGAAATAACATTAATTATCACTACATGTTGCAACCAACGTGAGGATAATTTACGGTTGTAAAAATACATACCGTTTCTGGAAGCGTTGAAATTCATTATTGCATCTATTTATTGACTACAAAATAGTGAAAACATAATAAAACGATCGAATTATTAATTTTTATAGAATATTTCTTTAATTCAAACACATCACCCCACATCTGTCGTATTTGACAGAATTTTGACAACAAATATTTTTTGATGGCGATGACGTTTGCTTTTGACACATCCTGCCACCGCATCGACTCTACAATGAAACTTGTTTTTGCGACTTTTTCATTATTATATTTATATCTCATGAGTTATATCAAGGCAATAAAATTTATAAAACACTAGTGTTAATGTCGTTGCTTAACTCTTTTTAATATTTATTACATATAAATTAAACCTCGAAGATAGAGAGATTTTGTTACTCTAACTGTTGTAAAGTACTCTGTGCAGTGTGTGATTTTTCAATATAAATATTTCCCATTTTGTTTGTGATGAAATTGTCATAATAGAACTACAGTAAATACGGGCAATTATCTTTAATAAAATCAGAAAGAAGAGTTTCTGTTCATTTTGAAGTGTGGCGTTAGAAATGGCGTTAACCAATGTACTTTTGTTGAGTCAGATAGCGGCCTATGTGATCGGGTTCATCCTGTCTCTTTGTATTATCGTACCTTTGAGTATGCACCAGGACGAGTTCAGGTACAGCTATAATTTTTATTTAATATAGAAAAGTTTAATTTTTAAAAGTGATATATTCGTTTTTAAATATATCTAGTCTAAAATATAATAAACAGATATAGAAATGCTTGTAATAAAACCTAATACTAAGCTACCTGGCCACTGGCTGGATTGGATTGTTTACTTGTAAAGAGGCTAAGGAGTCTCTTCATAAGTTTATACCTATACTAGAAAATGTTCCTAGTTATGGTTTTATAGAGGTCTTATGATGACCATATTATTAATACCACAGGACACCATTGATGACAATAATATATTTTTTTATTGACACCAATTTAACTAGAAATAGTTATTCTTCTTGTAATCTATTACATTTTTGTTAAATACGCATCATATAGAGAATTTACTAGTAGTATCTATACTAGGCAGAGCTTGTAACATAGATACTATTATCTTCCAGACTAGGCCTACAATGGACAATGTTCCATGGGATCTTACATGGTCTGTTATGGTTCTGACCTAATGTCACCCTCCACTGGTGGAGGATATGGTTAATACAATATAATTTCATAATTAATAATATAATTTTTATATATATATAATGGCCTATGCATCTGTTATACACAATTTATGGCATAATGGCCCATGAACAGCTCTTATCATGGCTGTATAAACCGATACGAGAGCGGCATTGCCTACCACATGCTCGACAAGGAAATTATTGGCAGTAGTCTGTACTGAGCCTCCTAGATGGCGCTTCCATCTAGGGTTGACCGTGTCAAACAATATCTTGCTTGAATCGGAGATCAACTCACATATTGGCAAGGCGACTGTGTTTGGGAGGCTTAGTACGCGACTATGGTACCAATACCTGACTACCAACACCAAGAATCATTATTAAGAATAGTAGTAATAATTATTTCCTCATGACCTTTTCATTTAGTTGCTCTACTAATGGATCTGTCTGTGGATGAGGAAAATTAATATAAATAAATGTAATTTATTTATAGCATGGATGTAGTTGAATAGTCGATAAGCATTACCTCAGTTTGAACATATAGGATAATCTTTTGACCTGTATGATTGAATGTTTTAAAATTTTCATGTAATATAATAACATGTTACATTTTTTTTTTAAACTAGATTTATTTTGGGGTTTTTGTTTTCAGACATGTCATGAAAGTCGAAATATATCTTCATCTTTATATATAACCATTTACCATCAGATGGGCCGTATGCCTGTTTGCCACCATAGTAGTATAAAAAAAAATACTTATGTACAGTGGACCCCCGGTTATCCGACAAACAGTTTGCAGGGCAGTGTCGGACTATCGGATTTGTCGGATTATAGAATACTGCCTAAGGGTCCCCTAGGGTTCATCCGTTAGTTTCGGATAATTTCGGTTACGGATGTTAATTTTTTAAATAATTTCAAAAGTAAAATACAATTAGCTAATAAAATCGAGCCCTATCCGATATTATCCGAAACTATTATTTCACAAATATTGCAAAGGGTCTACTAGACAAAAGTTTGGGAACCTGTGGTTTATATGAATTTTATAATTACAGCGGTCACTGCCTGCTGTTTTCGATGATGATGATGATGATGATAATAAAATGTTACATTTTTTTTTACTGGATTTATTTTTGGGCGTTTATATTTTGCGACATGTCATGTGGTTGGAATATATCTTTATCTTTATATGTCTGCCTGGTGCAAATGTACAGGTAGCTTATTTCGCATCTTCCCCGCGTGTAGTTGTTTAAAACTCTTAGCTGTTCCACTTTTAATATTTCGGTGACGGGTGAAGGTTATTGTTAGTAATGTAGACTCATGACATTACTACCAATGTACCATGTTAGATTGACCTCCACGCGGTTCCCACTGGAAAAACTCACCAGGAATTTCTCACGATGGACTAATAGAATAGAATAGAAAATCATTTATTCAAATAAACTTAATTTAAGCACTTTTGAATAGTCATAACAATTTGTTTTTTATATTATCCACTCGTTCGGAAAGCTGTCTCATCACAAGAAGAACGAGCAAGAAACTTGTGTGTTGCTCTTTTAAATAATCCTTGTAAAAACTTTAAACATTTACAAACAAAACAGAGAATATAAACTACCAACAAGCACGTAATTTTTTTTCAATTATATAATCATAATCAAATAAGATTAAATCAGTCGATTTAGTGATAAGATTGGCAAGACCGTGTTGTGAGTCGTGACAATTTTCCCATTTTAATAAATTTAAAACCTTTTCACGTTCACGTAATATTTAATATAATAAAAATATATGACTGAAAATGACCAAAACAAGATAAATAATGCGCTCGACCATATTTTAAAGGGAGCCCATTGACCCGGCTAAATTGTTTCCATAATGCCTGGACATTTTCATTTGGCAAAATGATTACGTGACGTTGCAACGAGGACCAAATCGACATTCGATAGAAATAATTTTTATCGATATGTATGCGTTTAGTTACAGTATTCGCGTCAAATGGCGTCTTATGATCGCATTATTGCATGCGTCAATCGTTACATACGAAAATCGCTACGCTATCATATATCAAGAAAGCAGTATGAAAATTAAAAAAATATATATATATAACGTTGTCCGACAAATAAACTTATTCTTGCTATATATTGCTATCATCTATAAATTCATCTATCTTATAATAGGCTTTTTTACATAACATTTGTTTAATATAAGATTTGAATAAAATGCCTCTCTGTAAGATTTATTTCGAATTAGCAAAAAGTCTCTGGACAAAAGTTTATTATATGAATTTTACGCAATTACCATAAAATGAATTTCTAACTTTGTGTAGATGGCGGCATTTGGTAAAATTAGCGACTTATTTTTATTGTTCATTTCTACTTGTACAGTCTTTTAAGCATTTCGTGTAGTTGAAACTATCTAAGCTTTCCACTTTATACATAATATTTTCATAAATGTACTGTGAGGCAACGGTGAGGATATTTGATTGTTTAAAGCATTGACGTAATGACTACTGAACTGACCTGATGTTCACCTTATAATCCTCTATTGGTACCCCGCCAGCGTAAAGCGTTAGTGCAGGCGAGGGCACCATGTCATAAAAAAAAACCTGCGCATACAATTTGTGCCGGATAATATTTTTTTTATGCATGAGAATGGAATAGTGCATCCGCCTGCACTAACGATTTACGCTGGCGGGGCACTAGTGGAGGATGATAAGATGAGCATGAGGTCAGGTCAGTTAGCCTATCGTGAAAAATGAGGCCTGGAAACCATCGGATAAATTTATTCACGATGGTTTCACAGGCGGGTGCACCATTCCATTATCATCTATAAAATAAACCCCCAGATTTTGGTGGATACTAACTTCACCCTCATCCTATCATCCTCCAGTGGGGCCCCGACAGCGTTACCGCAAGCGGGTGCACCATTCCATTATCATCCATAAAAAAAATATCAACCAACAGCACTTCTTGATAATGCCATATGGCAGATGCTTGCCTTTTGTACATGTGTTTTTCGTGATAAATAATAAAAAAAAAAATTGTATAGAAATAAAATTATCTGTATTCAAATAAACTTAATATAAGCACATTTGAATAGTCATATTTTTTTATTTTACCCCCTCTTGCCTCGAACACAGACTCATCACAAGAAGAATGAGCAAGAAACTTGTGTGTTGCTCTTTTAAATGAATATTGTTTTAATTATATTTATATTAACAAGGATTATAATAATAATAATAATAAAGACATTTATTCAGCATTACAGTATTCTTAGATGCTATCTATCTTATATACTATACAATTTAAAAGCTAAAAGCTAAAACATACTAGTAACGCTGAATGTGACACCATTCAGCATTTATCCAGTATATATAAAATGATTTTCAGTGGGGCCACCACACACGAGAGATACGTAAAGAATAAAGAAAATAATCTTTATTAAAATTAAGACCATTTTATAAATAGGTATTTTGTAAAGATAAATGCAATTTTAATTAATGTATGTATTTAGTATATTCTGTATATTATTTAAGTAGGTATATGAGCTATGTAATGAGATATTTATTATAATAAAATTTATTAATAATATTTAAATATATAACGTACATAAATGGTGTAGTTGGTACATGTTTTAGATGCTTATTATATTATATGTGAAACCTGCTACAATGATTTTTGTTCAATGAATAATTTATGTTTGAAAGAACTAACTGTCACTGAATTAAGGATAGAGGCTCAGATTATTCCAACTTACAGAATTATTTAAAACTACCACGAAATGATATAAATTGGGGATATATTAATACATTTAATTTTAATTATCTGAGTTTATCAAATTATATTTTGACATTTAACAATATAAATAACAACGTAGCGAAGTTTTGTTCCGTCTATCCATTTTTAACCAATTAGTTTGATTTATAAATGGAGTAACATGTCCTCGAAATGGTATGGAAAAACAAAACCTAGCACAAGCATTCTGTACTCTCTGTATCAGGTTTTTACTTTCGGACCAATGTACATTGTCCATAAACAGCATCAGCGTAATTGAATTTGGATAATATCAAAGAATCACAGAGATTAGGCATGCGACTATCAACATAGAAACCGCTACTCACTTAACCTCTGTTTAATCAACATATCATTTAATCAGCGCTGAATACAAGCTTAACTTCAAACACGGATTATTTCCTATAAATTACATAAATTTTTATTATTACATTTAATTTTAATTATCTGATCTTATATTTGGACATTTAACAATATAAATAATTAGCTTTTGCCTGCGGCTTCGCTCGCGTTAAGAAGTATTATTATTAGGTGTAGTTTTTGCGGATTTACAGTACTTTCGTACAAACTTTCATCACCTATTTTATTCCCTTAGGGTTGGAATTTATCAAAATCCTTCAAAATTAGGGGAATGCTACGTCATAGTAGCTTTATGTATGCAAAGTCTCAGCCCGATCGGTTTAAAATTGACAAAGTTTCATCCCCTATTTTATCCTCTTGGGGGTAGAATTAATCAAAATCCTTTCTTAGCGGATGCCTACGTCATAACATCTACCTGCATGCCATATTTCAGCCCGATCCGTCCAGTGGTTTGGGCTGTGCATTGATAGATCACTATGTCAGTCACCTTTGAGTTATATATATTTAGATTATGATATTCGTTGTTAACATTTGTTAAATTTCATACTAACATGAATTTAAACTTGCATGCTCATAATGCAGCAGAATATGGAACTGTAATTTAATTTGTAAGAACATTGTAACCTATTCAAAGCAAATAGATAAATAAATCAGATAACATTATCAGCGCTATGAATTTTATTTGCAGATTGTCAAGATTCATGTACAAGGGCCTGGACAGCTCGTTCCTGTCGGCGTTCATAGAGGCGGTGGGCTGCGTGATGCTGTGCGGGCTGACCGTCTCCGCCGCCGTGATGGTCACCCTCGGCTTCATGACCTGGTGCCAGAACATTGTGGAGCGGTTCCCAAGGTAAATAATTACCCTGGACTATTAACACTACCATCTAGTCTCAAGGTAAGAGCTCAGAGCTTGTGTTATAGGTGCTAGACCATTGATATAAAGACATACATTTTTTTTTCGTCAATACCTATACAGATAATAACACTCATGAATACAAATTTTTGTACCGTGGAATCGAACCCGCGACTATCGGAAGTAAAGCGGTGTGCTAAATCACTAGACCACTGAGGACGTCAGGGTTCCTCGCACGGCACAAACATTTGTATTCATGAGTATGATTGTTCGTATTGGTTAGGGTGTTTTCTATGTAAATAATAATAATAATAATCTCAGGACAATTCACACAGCGCCATCTAGACTCATGTTAAGCTAGCTAAAGCTTGTGTTATGGGTACTAGACAACTGATACAAATACATAGATGATTTTTTTTCGTAACTACATACATATTATACAAAGAAAATACCCAGACAGATACAAACAATCATACTCATAAATACAAATTTTTGTACCGTGGAATGGAACCCGCGACCATCGATCGTAAAGCGGTGTGCTAGACCGCTAGACCACCGATGTCGTCAAATGAAAGTTAAAAAGGTTTTTATCTGTATCAGTTACCTAGTACTCGCAACACAAGCTTTAGCTAACTTAACTTGGGTCTAGATGGCGCTGTGTGAATTGTCCTGAGATTATTATTAATAAGAAATCGTACAATTTCAGTTGCGAGGACGCTGCCGGTCAAAATATAGACAGCAAGGACAATATCTCCACTAATGGATTCTATGTAGAAATTGGGACAGCACAGGTAACAAAAAACAGATAACTCTAAACCAGGGATGTAACCGTAACCGAAACTATCGGATATCCGATATAAAAAAATATCCGTAACCGTAACCGAAACTATCGGATATCCGATATAAAAAAATATCCGTAACCGTAACCGAAACTATCGGATATCCGATATAATAAAATATCCGTAACCGTAAACGAAACTATCGGATATCCGATATAAAAAAATATCCGTAACCGTAAACGAAACTATCGGATATCCGATATAAAACAATATCCGTAACCGTAACCGAAACTATCGGATATCCTATATAAAAAAAAAAGTTATCGGATATCCGATATAAAAATATCGAATCCGAAATAAAAGTTTCGGATAATAGCGGAGCCTAATTGAGACACGTTATGTAACCATTTTATTAGCTATTTGTATTTTACTTTTGAAATTCCTTAAAAAAATTATATCCGTAACTGAACTTATCCGAAACTAACGGATAATCCGAAATATATTCATATCCGCATCCGTATCCGGTATAATAATCATTCCTATATCCGAAACCTATCCGTATCCGAAATTTCATATCCATAACATCCTTACTCTAACCTTATTTTATAATAAGGTTTAGAGTTATCTCTGTTTGTAACTGAGTAACTCATTGGGCTACCTAAAATATGGTCGAGCGCAGTGATGGCTGTCTCATCCGTCATACTCGTGAACGAGTGCTGCTTGTAGGAACTGGTCTGCTCTTATCACTACGACTGATTTAATCTTATTGTGTTTTTATATTTGAGCCTAAGTAAATTAGTGCTGGTTGGTAGTTTGTATTCACACGTTTCGACTTGTAAAATGTGAACTTACAAGGATTGTTTAAAAGAGCAACACACAAGTTTCTTGCTTATTCTTCTTGTGATGAGCTTTCCTAATGAGCGGTAGATTTAAAAAATATTGTTGACTATTCAAAAGTGCTTAAATTAAGTTTATTTGAATAAATGATTTTCTATTCTATTCTATAAGAAACTAACTACTCGCCCCGGCTTCGTACGTATCGTCCGCGTGGAATTTAACTTTATTTTTCTAAACTAAAGGTAGCCTGCGTTCTCCTTATTACATCAGCTACCTGCCAATAAAAGTCCCGTCAGAATCAGTCCAGCCATTTCAGAGATTAGCCGGATCAAACAGACAGACAGACAAAAATTGTAAAATGTAAAATGTAAATGTAATGGCAGGCACAGAATACCAGCGCCGTGACAGTTAGCTGTCACGGCATATGCTGAGTGTCAGCCATGTTGCCAACCATATTTAGAAATAATATAAGATAAATTATTGTAATTGTTCTAAGTGTGTATGTATGTATGTATATATGTATATGTAAAAATGGTTGACAATAAATGTTTTTCTTTCTTTCTTAAAAAATGTTATTTTGGTATATGTACTGTATTTATATTCATATGCGTGTAGTAAAAAACGATTATGTAACGAGTAGTGTATGTAAATGTTTGCTCAGTTCGGAGTGTGGGGCGCATTCGCGACGTGGGTGGGCCTGGCGGTGTTCTCGACGCTGAAGGTGTGCCGCTACCACCAGCTCGAGAACATCCAGGTGTCCATGTACCGCGAGCGGCAGCGGCTCGTCAACGAGAACGAGGCCCCGCCCGCAGCCGCCCACGGAGACCTGGAGCCCGAGGGGCGCTCCACGCCGCCGCTGCGAGCCTCCTAGACGCTCATTGTGCTGGTATGTATTACACGGCCTCTGTACTCTAGCGGTTTAGTAACAATGGTCGCGGGTTCGATTCCCGGTATATGCTCATTGTGCTGGTATGTATTACAAACTCAGTGCTCTAGTGGTTCAGTCATAATGGTTGCAGGTCTTTTTATGGATGATAATGGAATGGTGCACCCGCATGCGCTAACGGTTTACACTGGCGGGGCACTAGTGGAGGATGATAAGATGAACATGAGGTCAGGTCAGTTAGCCCATCGTGACAAATTCACCAAGAATTTATCACGATGGTTTCCAAGGGGAGCCGCGTGGAGGTCGACCTGATATGGTGCATTGCTAGTAATAGGGTCATGAGTCCACATTACTAACAATTCCGTTTCCCTCAATAGTTGCGGGTACGATTCCCCACAGATGCACATTATGTTGCTATGTATTACACGGTCACGGTCCTCTAGTGATTCAGTCATAATAGTCGCAGGTTTGATTCCCCGTACCAATATACAGCACATTGTGTTGGCATGTGTTACATGACCTCTGTGGCCAATAAAAAAATATTCATGTGTGGACGATGTCATGGGAAACAACTATGCAGAGGTGTCAAATTCAATTTTGTAGAGAGATATATCATAATTAGAATTTAACATTCTGATGGCCAGATTCAAATAAAAAGAAATGTACAAATCATCATTGCCTTGCCTTTATCCCATTATTTGTGGTCGGCGTATGTCATTCTCTTCCACTGCTCTCTATCGGTCGTCATATCTGAGCATACTCTTTTATTCATATCATCTTTCACACAATTCATCCATCTTTTCTTAGGGCGTCCCCTCCCTTTACATCCATCCACATTGATATTATACACTTTCCATAAGACATGGTCCTCATTCCTCCGCATAACATGCCCATACCAGCTCAATCTGTTACCTCGCAACATTTCTATAACCGGCGCAAAATGTTATAAAATGTAGAAATAAAAATTATAAAAATGTACTTATTTAAATATATAGTACTAGCTGCGCCAGCGGTTTCACCCATGCATGAAATATACAGCCTATATGTTATTCTGATGTATAAGCTATTGTTTAAACCTGAATCGAGGATTTGAGGGATGGTTGATAGATATCTAATTATGTTTATGAAATAAAAATGCAATGTTGCGTTATATAGTCTCTGATTTTTTAAAAAAAAATTTTTTAATTTTATTCTAGTTTTTAATTTTTCATGTTTTTTGTATTATGTTTGGTTTTTACGAATATGTGTATTATTATTATTATTTTATTATATTTATTGTATATAACTCACATATTTGTAGGCTGCCAGTTACATTTATATAGAAATTATACAGCTATATCACTGTAAAGTTTCAACAAAATTAATTTAGTAGTTTCTACTTGAAAGAGTAACAAACAATCATCCATGCTCACAAACTATCACGTTTGTAATATTAATAATCTATACATATAAATAAAATTGGAGTGTCTGTTTGTAATATTGAAATAACCGTTTTTACTACATGCATATGGATATAAATACGGTATATAGACCAAAATAACATTCTGTCTGTCTGTTTGTTCCGGCTAATCTCTGAAATGGCTGGACCGATTTTGACGGGACTTTTTTTAGCAGGTAGCTAATGTAATAAGGAGTAATGTAGGCTACTTTTATTTTAGAAAAATAAAGTTAAATTCCACTCGGACGGAGTTGCGGGTGCAGCTAGTAAGATATAAAATCACGTTGCGATCGCGGGCCTTGTTACAGCCCGGGGGCCGGATGCGGCCCGCGGGCCGTACCTTTGACAGGACTGACCTGGTGGATAGTATAAAGATAATTCTCTTATTTCCAGATCTGGTGAAACTTTATTGAATCGGGGTCCGGAGCTCTGGCAGTGGCGTCGATAACTGCAGAATGAATGTGATATTACTTAATCCCATAATTATAAGTTTTCACTTTTTAAATGCCATCTCATTTTGCAAGGCAACAGTTTTGAAGCCAATGTGATTGTTAATGAAATAATAGACAGCCTCGGTGGTCTAGTGGTTTAGCACACCGCTTTACTATCCGATGGTCGTGGGTTCGATTCCTCGCACGGTACAAACATTTGTATTCATGAGTATGTATTGTATAGGTCTGGGTGTTTTCTATGTATAATATCTATTTATTTACAAATAAAAATGTATCCATGTATTTAAATCGGTTGTCTAGTATCCATAACTCAAGCTCTGCTTAGCTTGGGACTAGATGGCGCTGTGTGAATTGTCCTGAGATATTATAATTACTGAATGTAACTTAATTTTCAACACCGAAAACCGATGACTTAAAATGGATTTAATATCATCGGTTTTTCGGCACATAAAACACGTGCTTCATTATCATTACATATTATAAAGTCGCTGTCGCTGTCTGTGTGTGCTTAAATCTTCAAAACTACGCAACGGCTTTTTAAACTGTTTTTTTTTTTTTAAAAAGAGAGATCAAGAGTAAGGTTTATATATTTAATAATACATGTTGTTGCCGTGCGAGGCCCGGGCGAAAAGCTAGTTAATATAATGAAGTTATATTCCATAACAGCACTATTTGCTATTTTATTTTATCAGATTTAGTGACAGTAGGCAGTGAGCTGATTTAAAAAATTAAAACGGGAAAGTGCCAAAATGAACAAAATATAATATGTATAATTAAATTCAAATTCAAATTCAAAATATCTTTATTCATGTAGGTCTATTACAGACTCTTATGATATGTCACATGTACGACTTTTTTCAACACACTTGCGGGGGAAAAAATCATATTATATTTTATACTGTTTTAAACTTGATAATTAGTAAAAATCACGGGATCTTACCGCGTTTTATATTTCCATTTCAACCACCGGTGGTTGAAACACTACCGAAATATCGGGAACTCAGCAAATAAATATAAAACGTGGTAAGATACCGTGATTTTTACTAATTATCAAGTTTAAAACAGTATAAAATATAATATGATTTTTCCCCCGAGAGTGTTTTAAAAAATGTCGTACGCTATACATGCGTATTTAACACACACGGCTCTATTACGCACTCGTTTCGGCCGCCCGTGTGTTATAACCATCATAACGCACTGATATCGTAATATAAGTACTATAAATTTATTGTTATTATATATATTTACAACTTGTTCACTGAAATGATCCTTCATCGGTGGAATGTGAAATAATAAAGAAAAAGACATCTAAATTATTATTGTAAACATAAATTATTTAATTAATATTATTGTGTGTATTGGATAAACTCAGAAAATAAAATTTTAGTCATTCTTTCACCTATAGGAAGCTACTTTATCATTAGGGGTCACATAGTCGTGGTTAAGTCGAGAACTTATAATTTAATTTTGATAACAATAGATACAAGTAAAAAGTAAGTATTTTATTAATGTACAAAGACATATTATATTGAATTAATTAAATATTGAAGGTATGTACATGTTATGTTACATGAAATCTGTATGGTGACGAAATATATAAATAAAATCATAATAAATGTTCAATTAGATATATTAATTGGACAATTAAGGGGGGGGGGGAAATATTGAATGACCCCCCTGATCACATGTCTTATACGTGATCCACCATCAGTTCAGAGTGATATCATGCTAAGAACTGATAAGAAACTCAGCTCTTATTCTTTCCAAATGAGCTTGTACATTACAAAAATACAGATTCATTTTTTAATTCAATTAGGGAGAATGACCAGCATATGCAGTCGTCATTCTGAATTGCATTGCATTTCTGTCCAAAGATTTTTTTAAATAAAATTGAGATCTCTACAATTATTGCTAATGTATAGTCACACACATAATATTCGCCCCCTATCGTCCGGTGAAGCTGTAATGGCCAGCTGCAGCAAACAGCATCAGACTTTCGAAAAAATATCTTATAATATTACAAATGCAGAAGTCTGTCCATTTTTACCTTTTCACAACTAAACGGATCTTAATAAAATTTGGTACGAAAATAGATTGTAATACGAGGGCGAACATAGGCTAGCTTTTGTTTTACAAAAAGCGAAGTTACGGTTAACAGCTAGTTATATAATAGTTCAACGTATATACGCTCCCTAGTTTTGTTTTCAATCATAGATGGAGAAAGAATCCGCAAGTATCAACTGTATCAATACTCAGTGCCATATTCTTCTGCTTATTCAGTTACATTTTTTTTAATACCATAACAGTTGCAATACTTTATATTACCCACCTGATGGTAAACGGTTACCGTAGCCTATGGACGCCTGAAACATTAGGAGTATCAACAAGTTGTGACACTTAATACAACCCTGCTGAAAAACTGCAGTCACTGCATATGATGCAGGTAGTTCATTCTACAATTAGAAAAAAGCTGTCTACACTATTGCTATAGTAATCATTATATTACTATTTAGTTTGCTAGGGCGTTCGGCCGTCAAAATTATTTATTTGTTAAATTTAAAAGAGTTTATTGTGTTATTTTTATATTATATATGTAATCATTATTAGTGTAATAAGATTATATTATAGATGTATTAAGATGAAATAAAAGAATAATGAATGTACAACACTGATTTATTTTAAGATCTACAATCATTAATACAATAAGTACGTCGAATATATAGCTAAGAAAAATAATAAAAAACAAAGTCGCTTATGTCTAATTTTTAACACATTCACCGCCAAAAAGTTTTCCATAAAAAGTAAAAAAAATATTTCTTCTTGAGTTATATTTAATAAATTATGTAGAGATATGATTATTAAATACATTGATGCATTTTGGTGGGAAATGGCAAGTTAAAATAAGTACTCGGTGTCAGTCACTGGAGACTGACATAGGCCCATTTTTTTTTTTGTTCGGTTTTTCCCTTTTCAGGGAAAGGCAAATGGACGCAGCCCATACAGCCATTGTCTTCAGTAGTGACATAGGCCCGTTGGAGTATTCCAGTCAAGTCAAGACGGTCAATGTGTTAACGGTTGAACGGTGCTCAGCATCCGATCTGCGTTTAATGAATCAGTCTTCCAAATACATGATAATGGAACCGGATGACTTTATTTTTAATTTATAATTAAAACTTGGATAACAAAAGTAATTCGATATTATTATTTTTTCAATGTTCAATCAATCAATCAATGTTCTTTATTTATATTGTTAACCGACACTTTGACACGAATTTATGGTTTTTTGGGTTTAGGCTATACTGTCAGGTGCTAAGACCTGTAACACTGCGACCTGCATAGATCTATACGCCCTTTTTCAGAGTCCGCTACCTAGACCTATGAGGGACGAGAATGGAACGATGGTTTTTATCTCCTCAGGATACAATGTATACTTTCAAAGAGATATTTAATTTATGCATGAGTGGGCTACACATCGAAAGGTTAAAAAAGATATAAATAAAGGTATAACCTTTATTTAAGATAAAATTATCCGGTTAACAATATAAATAACGTGTATACATATATATATATATAAACGTTTAAAAAAACTATGTGCTTATTGTCATCATTCATGTTCTCGCACAATAAAGTCACCCAGTATATATGAAGTACTTTTGACATTGTAAAAAAATGGGACACAATTTTTGTAGTTTACAATGAAATAATAACAAATAAGTATTTTTATAAGACAAAATACATTAAAACTTAAAATAAGAAAGAACTCACTCGTTCAACGAAAAAGTATTTTTAATAGTAGGTTATGTACCTAAATCACAACAAAAACATTCTTTAAGAAAGTCTATGAATAACACACAAATGTTATACACACATGGAGTATAATATAGAATACTGCTTCGAATGTCGCAAGATATAAAATTAATACCAATATACGCGCTATTACAATTAAACTTAAATGATCTAATAATAGCATGGCGCGGCGGGTGATATTTTCATTTTACGTTTTAATTATTATTAATCATTAACGTTTCGTTTCACTACGCGATTTACAAATTATGACTTAATATTTCAGCTGTACCACATTAAATCATTAATAACTGTATTAACTTAAATGTAGCAATTGTTAAATGTTAAATTATAGTCTGTTTTTTAATCCCGGGGATTAAATTGACAGGTGTAAATATAATTTTAAAATTATGTTACCACCTATAGCGGAGTAGTGGTGTACCTGCGATACCGATTTGTTTAATCGGAAAGTTTTATTTTAACATATTAGTTTTAATGCTTTAAATGACGTTACCACAACAGATATTTCAAATATGCGTATATACACTAGTGTTTCCATTACTGTCGTCGTATCTACAGCTTAAAAATACATTTTTGTCGTTTCCGTACAAATAGTAATTTTTACCGTATTAAGCTACAAACCAACATTTTTTTTTTCTTTCAAACAGCAAAATATCTTAAATAGGTGTTTATTTTATGATATATAACAGTATACGAAGGTCATTTGTTTTATAAAAAAGCAGTTAGTCTTTATTTTAGTGAAAAATATGAAAATCTATTTTGATACAACAACCATATATTTATTAATATCTATACTTTATATTGCGTTAATGCATTTTTAATAAACATCCACACAATATTTGTAAATAACCTATAAAAATAGGTAATTAATATTAATATCCGATAGTGTAACATCCCTATTTAAAAATGCAAAACTTAATAACTTCGGAAATGTCAAATTTATCTCCGGGATTAAAAAACAGACTATAGTAACTGTAACTGTCCCGCACCATGCTACAGCGCACACATTATAAGAGAGAGCATTAGTCAGTCCTATTATCTCTTTATAATTTATAAATTGAAGAACAGTTTCTTCATTATTCACAAACTTGAGATACCACGCTTATAAACTAACATGGTAAACACCATACAAATGTTTACCTACAAACCAATTTCACTATTACAACCCATTACTATATATTGTGGATTTTTATCAAATAATTAAAATTAAGTAACATGCCATACATACATACATACATACATAGATTCGACACTCGAATTTTATGATCTTTGACTCGCCATCCTTGTTTAGTTGGTCTCATTTGTAGCACTTCCCCTCTCTAGTGTGACGCGCTATGTATATATATATATATAACACATTTTATAATAACGCGTCTAGAAATGACTAAATTAACAAACAGCATTTGCATATTTTTTTTATAAGTAGCTGTACTCGCGACTTTGTCCACGTGGAATTAAACAAAAATGTTAATTAGTTTTACTTTATTTTTCCTAAAATAAAAAGTAGTCTCTTATTATATTCATATGCATGTAACAAAAATGTTAGGTTATTACCGTATTCATCGGTTATTTCAATATTACAAATAAACACTCCGTATTAATGTATAGATATTTTTAATGAAAATTTAAATTCTTAAATGTGACGTCACAAAACTTACGTGTGACAATTTGTGACGAGTGTGAGGGGACACTCGTGACAATGTCACACTTCGCCAACCTCCCGTCCCCTTAACGTGTGACGTATTTATAGATATTTAGTTGTTTTTTGAGGGCCCCCATAAATAGAATCAAGTAGTTAATATTGGGTTTTCAGACGTTTATAATAAATAAGGTAAGAGTGAAAACTGGGTTGTAGGTCTTTATATAAACTAACACCGAAAAATCCTTATTCTACAATACATTCAATATAGACACCTATGTTAAATATACCATCACATTCTAGTAGAGAAACCGAGATCTGTTACGAAACTCTTTTAATTTTTTTTATTATAATAATTGTAGCTTTAGGATAAAGTGTAATAGGACAATTCAATATGTAAAATTACATAGGTAATCTTCCTAACATAAAGAAATACAGAGCTGTTAAATAAATAAGAATTTAAACAGAGAAATCTCCACAAGCACCATCCGTTTATAACGGACTGTTCGATCTTTTGAGAGGCATTGAAATTATAATAAAGTATAAGTTCAACATAATCCCACAATCTGAGTTCGAATGACCTCTAAATTAGAATCAATAGACGAGACTTACAGTCTCTATCTAAGTCCAATACCGATTGCAATCAGTGATAAGAGTCTAAAACTAAATCAAAGCGTCCAACTGGTGATCGATGCGATCAACCTGCTTTCTTAATTTGTTCGTGTTAGTGGTGATTTTACAGTGAAATTGTACAGTGAAGCCGTAAAAGTAAAATAAATCAGTAATCGCTGTTTGGTTGATTTGATTTAGTTTGGTTGATTTACTTAGGAAGCAAAAATAATGCAGCGAAACCTTCATTTCCACTGTGTGGCATATTTAGTTATATGTATTATTTTTGTGGTATACAAGATACTGTATCACGATTAAAGTTTAAAGATACACACATTTATATAATCTAGTTATAATCATATTATTTAATATTTCTACGTCTAACATTTATAATTAAATCAGTGGTTGTAATGTTTTATCACAGAAAATAGAGGGAATACAGTCAGAACAATCGAGTAAGCATTTTGGGAATATTGTTAGCACTTTAAATACAATATATATTCTAATACAAATGGGTCTGTGTTATATTCAAATTTTCAAACCTATTTTAGTCATATACAGGTACAGAAAACTATATTTGTGTCTCAATTTATGGAGGTAGAATTTTATTGTTTTTGATTTACGAGTGCTACAAAATTCTATGAAACATTAACCATTTAATGTTATATTTAACTTAAAATGAATCATAATATTTAGATAGATCAACGTTTTCGTTTGAATGAATACTTAAAACTACATATGAATATTTATGACTAAATTATATCACCTGAAAAATTTTTATGTGTACAATTCTTTTTCTTTACATGTTTTTATTACTTTATTTTTTTTAGTGGTTTAAATTCGACAAGGTAAGGCATTATTCGATACATTATAAGTTCTCGTGTGTCTTTCTGATTTTCGGAAGTGACGTTTTATTCGGCACGAGGCAAGATAACATGTAAAACATTAATATTACGGAGTCGTATATCGGGCAAAACGTAAAAAAATACTTTATCAATCAGAAAAAAAAACGAAACATATGACACCAGAAGTTACACTGGTAGAACTGAAACTTTTCTGTGAATATTACTTTTACATATACGACGGCTCCTACACGGTCACTTCTACGCGGTACGCAGTAGCGTCTACGATATCGTATCGATCGCGATATCGAAAATATCGTAATATTCACAGAGATGTTTCACTCCGAGAGAGAGACAGAGAGCGGAGCACGCGGAGCTAGCGCGAGGCGGGCGCGTGCTTGCGGCGCTGGTGGTCGCGCAGGTAGCGCGCCTGCGAGAACGACGACGAGCAGCGGTCGCACGACACGCGCGGGGGGCGGGGCCGCGCCGGGGGCGGGGGGCGGGGCCGCGCCGCGCACGCCCGCCGCGCGCGGGGCTCCCGCGCCACACTCACGCTCCCGGATGCAGCTACGCTTCCAGCCGCAGCCACGCTCCCAGCCCCAGCCGCGCCCTCGGGCGCAACCACACCCGAGGACGCAGCCACGGGCGCAGCCACACACGGGGACGCAGCCACACCCGCGGACGCAGCTACACCCGCGGACGCAACCACACCCGCGGACGCAGCCACACCCGCGGACGCAGCCACGCCCCCGGATGCAGCCACACCCGCGGACGCAGCCACGCCCCCGCACGCAGCCACATTCGCGGACGCAGCCACGCCCCCGGACGCAGCCACGCCCCTGGCCGCCGCCGCGTGGTCGGTGCGCACGTGCGCGACCAGGCCGGCGCTGGACCGGAACCGCTTGCTGCACGCGCCGCACTCGTAGCGGCGCTCGGCCGTGCACGACCGCTTCCCGCACCGGGCCTCGCCCGCGCGCTTATGGAAGTATTTCACGTGGTACAAATACGCCGATGTCGCCGTGTACGTTTTCGAGCAGATCGGACACTTCCGGCCGGATGCGACGTTCGGTTCGGGGGCGGACCACGACGGCGGGACGACCCGAAAGTCCGACTGCGACCCGGACTCCGATGAGGTGACGGATACGGTCCTCGGCGGCGGGTCGGGCGCGGACTCCGACGAAGACTCGGATGCGGACCTCGACGGCGAGCGGGCCGCGCGCCCCTGCGACGCGCCGCTCGTGGACCTCGAGGGCTGTCCCTCCATAGAACTCGAGGGCGATCCGGCCGTGGACCTCGAGGGCTGTCCGGCCATAGAACTCGAGGGACGTCTGGCCGTAGACTCCGGCACCGGCCCGGTGATGATGGATTCGTCTTGCAGAAGAAAGTCCGCGTAGCCGACGCCGTGAAACACGCGGATCTCGCGGACGCCCTGGGCCCGAATTCTTCTTCTTTCCAAGCGGCGAGCTCTCGCAGACGCCGAGCCGTCGTCGTCTGATTTACTGTATTCTAAGTGATCCGACATGTGCCGAATGAATTCTTTCTTAGCGACGTAGGTCTCGCACACCCCGCACTGGAACAGGAGTTGAGCGTGCAGGGCCACCAGGTGGTTGTCGTAGGCGTCGACGGGGCAGCTCGCGGGGCAGAACGCGCATTTGCGCATCCGCGATCTGCAACAAGCGGCGCGTTAGTGCGGCGGCGGCGGGCGGGGGTGGGGGCGGGGGAGCGGACGGGGGTGGAGGCGGGGGGCGTGCGTCCGCTTGTGCATGCGCAGCGCCGCGCCCGACTTGGACGCCTTGCCGCACACGTCGCACACGAATTCCCTGCTCGTCGAGTGGGATTTGATGTGATCCTCTAGATGATCTTTTCGCGAAAAGGCCCGGTCGCACTCCGGACAGAAGTGCGGGCGGCGGCGCTGGTGAACGGCGCGAACGTGCCGCATCAGGTTGCCGCCCTCGTTGAAACCGAGGCCGCACAGGTGGCACCAATGCGGCTTCTCCTCGCGGTGGTACCTCGCGTGGCGCGTCCGGGACGATCTCGAGACGCTCTTCTCGCAGACGTCGCACGACACGTACATCTCGCCGAGATCGCGAACCGGGCCGACCGAACTCACGCGGTCGTCTTTCGGTTTGGCGGCGTCTCTTTCGCTCTCCGTCGTCGATTGCGAGCGCGATTCGGGCCGTACTCTGTGTCGTCTGCAAAGGTAAATTTGTCGATGAAGCCACTGAAGCCTCGCGCGCCGCGTCGAGGTTAGAGCGCGGCGTAGGGCGGCGGCGGCGGCGGCGGCGGGGGTGGGGGCGGGGGCGGGGGCGGGTGCAGGCGCGCGGCGTGCAGACGGAGCGCGCGCCGCGAGCGGAAGGCGGCGGCGCAGGCGGCGCAGGCGTGCGGCGCGCGGCCCTGGTGCGCGAGGAGGTGCGCGGCGAGCTCGTGGCGGCGGCGGAAGGCGCGCGCGCAGGCGGCGGCGGGGCAGGCGTGCGGCCGCTCGCCGCTGTGCCGCAGTCGGTGGCGCGCGAGCCCGGCCCGCAGCCGGAAGCGCGCGCCGCACTCGAGGCAGCGGTGCGCGAGGTCGCCGCCGTGCGTGCGCGCGTGCGCGTGCAGCGACCCGCTCTGCGTGAACCGCTTGCCGCACTGCGCGCACGCGTACGGCCGCTCGCCGGTGTGGATGCGCATGTGCTGCTTCAGGTTCTGCGAGTTGGCGAAGCTCTTGGGGCAGCGGGCGCACGGGTGCCGTCGCAGCCTCTCGTGGGTCTCCACCACGTGCCGCTGCAGGCCGTTGGGCGTGCGGAACTGCTTTCCGCACACGTGGCACACGCACGGCCGCTCGCCCGTGTGGATCCGCTTGTGGAAGACGTACGTATGCGGCGAGCTCAGATTCTTGCCGCACACGGCGCACGCGTAGTAGAGTTTGCCGTTCACCCTGGTCTGGACGCCGCCGAGTTCCCGGCGCGTCTCCTCGTCCATCCTGTCCTTTCGCATGTTACACTTGGTGAGGTCGTCGTAGTCGTCCACGTCGACGTTTTCCGCGTCGCCCTCCTCGCTCGCCGCCTCCTCGTCGTTCGAGTCTGTGAATTCTGGGTACTTGCGCTTCTTCGACCCGTGGTATGATACGAAGTGATCTCTAAATTTAACTAAGGCACGATAAAATTCATTGTACGGATGATTAAATTTCTTCGTCGCCGCTATATTCGAAAGCGGTTCGTCGTCCTCGTCGACAGACAGTCGATCGTGATCAGAATCAATATCAAATTTTATTTCAAGAGTATCTTCGCCGAACTCGCTCATATTTGACTCAACATTCCTCGAGTGGCTGGCGAAATCGCTCCAGCAGGTTTGCCACCTGCAACAAATAATCCTCGTTACTTCGTCTTCTTGTGTGTGTTTAGGTGATAGTTGAGGTGACTCCTTTTTCTGAACTTCTTCTGGCACAAGTGACACTCGTAATTCCTTACATTGAGATGAATTTCGGCATGACGATCCAATGTATTTTTAGCCCTAAATGATTTCTTGCAAACAGTACAACTGTAAGGTTTGTGCCCTGTATGAATTCGGGCGTGAACATTACAAGCTAAGCGCGTCGGAAACGCTTCGCCGCAAATGGAGCAAACAAAGTTCAATATACCGTCGTGCACTTGTTTTTTATGGTTCTTTAAATTCCACTGGTTACTGTAACACTTATTACATTTATCGCACTGAAATATGCTCTTTCCATTCGAATGACTTTTCATGTGAACGAACATGTTATATTTATTTGAAAATGTTTTATTACACTCTGGACACACTGCTGGTATAAACTTCTGATTCTTTGAACTTTGCTCGGTCGTGGTCTTGTTACATGTTCTTTTATGATCAATGTGGTGTTCGTTGATGTGTCGCTGCAGAGTTTCTGCGTCCTCGGCCACGTGGGCGCAACTTCTGCACTTGTGTAACCCAGTATCACCTGGAGTGTGGCTCACGTGCTTTTCTTGCAAATGTGTTACGAACGCTTTCTTATTGTTGTATGTGACATCACAACACTCAATAGCATTGTCTATACAGATTTCTATGTGTTGGTTTAGATGGAAGATCAGACGAGTTGGCGATGAAAAGGCACTATCGCAAAATGGACATAGGAAACTTGGCAAATTATCTTTGGACTTATCATCTGTATCTGATTCTATATATCTGTCAGAATCTTCAGAAACTAATGCCACTTCGAATGTAATATTGTCTTTTATGAATTCCTCTATAGATTTAATATCTTGCACCGCTTCGTTATGAGCTGTTGTAAGATGCTCAGCCAAATGTTGTACGCTCGTTGCAGATGGATGGTCAGCACATAACTGACAAACACATTCCATATCCAAGTCGTCGTCCATGTAAATGGTGTCAACATAATTGACCATAACAGATTTCACTTGTTCGTAAAATATTAGTGAGGTCTGAGATCTGAAATTGTACACATCCCCTTATGCAATCATTTTTCTGTATAAACGTCAATACTGCCTAGGATTAACTAAGTACATGTTCAAATTTAATATGCTAGACTGACAATAGTTACTACTTTCATGTAGTGGTCCTTCAGTTTGTTTGTCATTCCTATTAGTACATAGATATATAGATAATTATTTTATTCATCAATTACAAACACATAGCATACATGAGAGATATGAATAGAAATTTCACAAATTAAAATACAGAGATATAAATGTTACCATTTTTTAATTTCTGTTATATGTTTTATGTGTTGCAATGATGAAGAGACAACCAATTCAGCTAGTAACTATATATAAGTGGAACATTAAATTATCATCAATACTCTGATACTCATACAAGGAATCTCGGGTGTCAATCAAAAAAGCCAGCGTATACCGTCAGTGCAGGCATTATTCTGTAAGGATGAAGTATACTGACTCGATTGACTGTCTCAGTATTTAAGTATATACTGTCTTGTTTATTATAATAATCAATCCTTATATACTACTTACTTACTAAGTACATATTCATCCTTACAATTCCATTAACGCTCATAAAAAAAATCTATAATAACTTCTGTAACATCTTCTTATTTATAACCAAGATTATTACATACAGAAGTATGTAATAATCTTGGTTATAAATAAACCTCCATAACAATATATGATAAAAAAACATAACAAGGATATTTACATTCTAATGTACTTGTTGACATATATATATTATATAATATAACCACAGAAAGATTTAAATCATATAAATTTATTTAAAAAAATCATATAAATTGGATTTCATTTTACCATGCTTTATTAGCTTCTTTGATAAGGTGGTAATTAGTGCTCAGAGGATCATAATTAGACGATTCGATCTCGGTTGATTTTTCTAATCCCGCGGTTTCGAGATTATCCCATCCTCCCAATATGTTACCATATTACAAAAAAAACAGTGAAACATATCAAAACCTACTTTTTATTTTAAATTTTCAAAAAACACATTATATCTTCTTCTGATATAATACTATATATACAAACTCATTATAAGCTTTGTATACATATATTTTATAAGCTTTAAGCTAATATAATATTAGTTTTAAGCTTCTAGCTTTACAACCCTTTTTAGCATTAAAAATAGCTTGTCCTTTCGTAGGGTTTAGATTATCTATGTAACAAATTTCATTTAAATAGGTTCAGTAGTATTGGCGAGAAAGCTCGACAGATTTGCTTTATGCGACAGACTTGCTTTCGCATTTATTTAGTAACGATAAAAATCTTATAATGCCTATGTTGAGATGAGATATTACAAGTATTAATGAATCAGAGTATAGTCTGGACGACTGATTCTATGATATAAAATAAATAAATATATAGCCCATCAAGTGTAAATTGGGAAATTCTGTCCCTGTTTTAACTATACCTTATTAATTTGGTTAATTTACTTTGCGCATATTAGTTATGTCTCTCTTTATCTGTTCTCTCTTTATAATGGTAATAAACGTGTAAGTATTTAATTCACATTGTCAGTATTTAACCTTCAACCATATTGTTAGATATGTAATCTTGTAATATGTATGTAATCAAAGAAATAATGAAAAGGTTAGTTGACATCACAGAAGACCGAAGAGCTGGCAGCTACCTTGGACAAAGAATTAGTCTAGCTATTCAAAGAGGGAACGCTGCCAGTATCGGAACTTTGCCTAAAGGGACCCCTTTTAATAATATATTTTAGTTATTATATTATATTTTTTAAGCTTTTTAATTTTAGTTTGTAGTTGTACAATTAAGTTTAAAAAAAAAAACAAATTTCTATAACAACAAAAAAAAATCTTCAATCTATATTACTTATTTAAATCTTTCTGTGGTTAAATAAACTTTAATATCATCTAAAACATATATTAATTAATCAAATTATTTAAAGTACATGTCTATATATCTTTTAAATATTATTAAATTAATAAAGTATGATAATAATTATGAGTTACACTTACTTGTTATTCTGGTTGTTTTCTGCATCGCTCTTTTTCTGTAAAAAAGATTTTTACATAAATGATATAAATCTTATATATAAAATTCTCGTGTCACAGTTTTCGTTCCCATACTCCTCCGAAACGGCTTGACCGATTCTCATGAAATTTTGTGAGCGTATTGAATAGGTCTGAAAATCGGCCAACATCTCATCCACCCCTAAATTTTTTTTTAATTTTTAGACAAAAATATTAATTTAAATTTTTTTATGATACAACATACAAAAATACATACAATTCTAAATTTTCACCCTTCTATCATCAACCCCTATTTTTTATAGCGATATTAATTAATATGACAAAACAACGTTTGCCGAGACAGCTAGTGAATATATAAAAAAGTATAGAAAGATGAAAACGGTGACTTCATTTAATACTATTAGAGAGCAGGCCAGCGAGGCAACATAACATAACTAACATACTAGTAGTACTCGCGACTTCGTCCGCGTGGAATTTAACTTTATTTTTCTACTAAAACAAAACTAATCAGCTACCTGCCAAAAAAGGTCTCGTCAAAATCGGTCCAGCCATTTCAGAGATTAGCCTGAACAAACAGACAGACAGACGGAAATTGTAAAAAAAATTTTGGTGTATTTATATTCATATGAATATAGTAAAAAAACGGTTATTTCAATATTACTAACAGACACTCACAATTTTATTTATATATATATAGATGTATAGATTATATTAGGTACAGCACCAAAAAAAAAAAATTAAATAACCAAAATCTTCTGAGGTGAGATATTAAAAAGAAACACTACAATTGAGAATATCTTCCTTTTTTTTAAGTTAGTTAAAAGCAGTACTAGTAGCAAAACTTCCTTCCGGTAGGAAGAGGCATGGTGGGTTTAGATTACCAGTACCTTGATGTCATTGAGGCGAGATCGTAACGCTTTATCAGCTTCGCGGCTGCTCTTCTCCAGCTCGTGGCAGCCCAGCACCGTGCTTGCACACTGGTAGCATACCACCAACGGCAGTTCATCCTGCTCCGTCACCTGTACACAGACAAATACACATTTATAGATTAATATAGACAATACAACCCACCTAAATTTAGGAGTTTATATTTTAGAATTTAGGAGTATGACTGAAAATCAGTGCTATGCAGCGTACGTGTAAACGTTACGCTCACAGCATCAGCTGAGTCAGCCCCTTTTGCTCAGAATACGCAATATGAGGTACTGCTGCTATTTTATATGTAGTTTAAGAGGTTCTTTTTTGTACACACCACCTTCTGCCTCTTGAGAAGCGTAGGGAAATCGCGGATATAACATATCTCATGAGAATAGCCTCTGGTGCTGTCGAGAATCTCCTGGGTAAATTATCTATTAATGTACCACGAGTATCAACAAGGCACAATCCTCTTCTATCTGTTCCCCTAGTGTCATCGAACTATAAGCAGTTCATTTCTCTGGCGAGCTAGCAACAATTTTAATAAACTATCTAAAACAGTTAATATAGATATATTTTGTAATAGTATTAATTCAACGAGACACCAACTAAGTGAGTCCTTCTTTAAATAACAATTAATTATTATTGAAAATCATGTACCTATATGTATATATTTCTATAAATGTACTATTTGTTACTGTACTCTTGTTAATTAATTTCATATTCTCTGTTAACTTTATAATGCCTTTATACGTAGTGATGTAAAACTTTTTAAGAATTAGTCTATTGTTATTAGTGAAAGCCTGTCAGTGGCTTACTGTGACATATATATTGACTTTATATAAGATGTACTTGAATAGCCTTGGTTTTCCTTTAATAAATAAATAAAATAAATAAAATAAATAAATAAAATATAGATATTGATCAACAAACAGTGTATTAACTCAAAGGTGTATGTATGTTTTGTTCTGGCAATAAATATTATTATTATTATTAGTTTATTATAATGAATAGATAACCTGGGAGTCATTGTTGAATATAATTAAAAAATAAATAAATAAGTAAGATAATAATGCCATATTTTCCATCATAAACTATGGCATACATAATGCAATGATTTTTAGACCATTTTTTCTTGTCACAGTTTGTCACATTTGTGAATCTGTTCACTTATATATTTTAAATTACGCCACGGAGTTTTCAGCAAAAGATGGAGTGATTAAAGAGAAAGCTTTTTAGTATAGAAATACTGTAACAAATTTTTTATACATATAAGTCGAGAAATTAATGCGACGCTGGGACACGTTCAAAATATATAACACTAGTGACCAGTGTTATATATTTTGAAAGTACACCTACTGAGTAGAAAGTATTTTTAAGTTTTCTAATATATCTTTATATATTATATAGATTTCAAAATTATACATCACATAATCTTGCACACCTTGTCACATATTGTCACACTTCGTCAATCCTCTCCTATGCCCTTCTCATGTTAATTACAGAATGGAATCATGTTAGTGTCCTGTCCAATGTCAGTAACAATAAAAAACTACCGATTTTGGTCATTAAAAATAATATCATTGTCACATACTTACAGTTATAGGTAAATGTTTATTTATTTTCGCTGCCAAGTCATTCTGCAGTCCCTCGCCTTGAAATATGGGTATGACAAGCTGCGTCACGGTGGCACAAGTTCTACACACCGTGGAGAAGTCCTCCACATCTAAAAATACAACAGTTCCTATTAATATATCTATCTATATTTTTAACTTAGTGTAAATAAATAAATGTTATGGTTACTAGGCAACATATATAAATACATAGCTACTTTCTTTTAGTAAATACATACATATTATACATAGTAAACACCTAGACAGATACAAACAATCATATCATGGATACAAATGTTTGTACCGTGCGAGGAATCGCACCCGCAACCATTGGACCAGCGGTATGCTAAACCACTAGAACACAGAGGTCGACAAAAGGTAATTTCTGCACATTTATTTAACTATGTACCAAACTCACTGATGAGATTTCTGGGCCTAACTAATAAAAATATAATAATTGAGTTCATTGCCCATTCTTCTCAACAAAACTAGCCAGGCTAAGAATAAATTTAAATTCATATTATATTTATTATAGTTTTCCTTCATCAATATATGTTTGTTATTCTTTTAGTTTTCTCTTGTATGCATATTATCTACCTGTTCATTTTTCAATTCCCTAAGGTTGCCTTGAAAAGATTGCCTTCAGCAATAAGGCTGCCTTATTATAACGATACATGTTGTCCATTAATATATTGTTTATGCCTTTTTCTTTACTATATGTTACAAATAAAGTATATTCTATCTAATAATAAGGAATGAGAAATATTTTTTTATGTATATAAATAACAAAGAAAGAAATAATCTTTATTCAAAATAAATTCATTACAAGCACTTTTGAATAGTCATATTTTGATTCTACCACTCATTCGGAATGCAGATTCATCACAAGACGAATAAGCAAGAAACTTGTGTGTTGCTCTTTTCAATAGATGTTTTTTAATATAATAATTACAGTATAACAAGTAAGAGGCATGCGATAATCAACATAGAACTCGCTACACACTCATTATTAATGTAATCAGATAATATTGTCAGTGCTATGGATTTTAAGTTTTTCTATAAAAACAGTATTGTCGTTAACAAATTCTTCAATTCAATAGTAAGCTTTTTGCAAAGGAAGTGTTATATATGACATTTAAATCTTATAGAAATAAGGTCTTCAATGTGTTAAGGCTCCTTGAATTGAAAAGTGGAGCTTGTAGCTTTGGATCCTCTGCATAAATAAAAATTCAGTACAAGAAGACTCCAAGATGTAAATGATGTTGAGAAAATTCCACAATACTCACCTAGTATTGTATAATATTTTCTCAACTCTCTCTCCACTATATAAATAAAAATTCAAAAAAAGAAGACTCCAAGATGTAAATGATGTTGAGAAAATTCCACAATACTCACCTAGTATTGTATAATATTTTCTCAACTCTCTCTCCACTATATAAATAAAAATTCAAAAAAAGAAGACTCCAAGATGTAAATGACATTGAGAAAATTGCACAATACTCACCTAGTATTGTGTAATTTTTTCTCAACTCTCTCTCAACTACATAAATAAAAATTCAAAACAAGAAGACTCCAAGATGTAAATGATGTTGAGAAAATTCCACAATACTCACCTAGTATTGTATAATATTTTCTCAACTCTCTCTCCACTATATAAATAAAAATTCAAAAAAAGAAGACTCCAAGATGTAAATGATGTTGAGAAAGTTGCACAATACTCACTTAGTATTGTGTAATGTCTATCCTTCCCTAAAACTAATAGTTGAATCTTAAATAAACTTTATAAATTGGAGTATACAAGTACTAGTTATAAATTGTAGAATTTTTTCCCATCTCTCTCAAATGGCGAAATGGCCATGGCTTTTGATTACACAACTCTCTCTCCACTATATAAATAAAAATTCAAAAAAAGAAGACTCCAAGATGTAAATGACATTGAGAAAATTGCACAATACTCACCTAGTATTGTGGAATTTTTTCTCATCACATCAATGCATCATGCAAAACATCATGCATGCATTGCATTCACTGATGAGAAACATTAAAGTATTTGTTACACATTCACGCAAAAACTACTGAACCGATCATCGTGAAATTTTGTACACATGTTCTTGGCAGTATTAGAATGAACTAGGATACTTTTTATTAAATTTATTAAAAAAAACAAATATTTTTATTCAACGCGAGCGAAGCCGCGGGTAAAAGCTAGTCATCCATAAAAACCCCTTCCCTAAAACTAATAGTTGAATCTTAATTGAACTTTATAAATTGGAGTATACAAGTAGTGGAGTGTGTAATCAAAAGCCATGGTCGTTTCGCCATTTGCGAAACGGCGATTACTGATGTTGTATTTCAATTTGGTCCCTAAGATTTGATTTGATGTTCCTTTTAGTACGTAAAATTTAAGTCAGTAGGTCTCACCTGGATCTAGACGCTTGTAAAACGCAAGGATGATCGAAATATTAATTGTATGAGATAACAAAGGATAAGTATATAATTGTCATGTCAGACATAAAATAACCTACTGCAGAACATGTTTTTAAATAAGTATAAATTATGAAATTTCCAATATAAATACCGGTGAATATTTTTCATACAGTCTTTGTTATATTATAAATATTACTTACTGTCTAGATTAAACTGCGCAACTGGCATTGCTCTAGCTGGTGGATTTTCCGATGGATTTAGTGCGCCTACTTGTGCAGGACCGTCCCCCATTATAATAAAACAGTATATTAATTTTAAATATTGAAAATTAGACAGAATTATTTAAATAACTACAAAACAACATGTCTCAGCCGTCGTCGGCGTCCAGAGTTTAGAGTAGAGTAGGGATGTGATAGGGATGGCGTATTGAGTACGATTAATTTATTAGATTAGTCGAAAAATCGATTCATCCGCTCAAAAATATCGATTTTATAAAACGATACACGCCACTCAATAAATCTGAGAATTAATATTTCCAAGTAACTTGATATTAGTTTTTTTTTATGTTGATCATATCCATAAACTATTGTTATTACTATAATTATTTAATATAATTACTGAATTACACATGAACCACCTCATGTCCGTCATCAGTTTACTAAGGTGTTTTCTAAAAAAACAATAAAAAAATATTATGATTTTTTTTCCATATTCTGACTTAAACTGTGCGTTGTTAAAAAACTATAGAGATAGAAAATATCAAACCCATAATTTGTGCTGCGTTGTATTTGTTTATTTGTTCATATTTATATTAAATCACGGTGGTTCGCTACATAATATATTTTTATATATAATTTTATAATAGTCTAGGTAGTGAGTATACCGGTGAAATAATTGTACATTAATAAGTTTATTAGATAGTGTGCTACATTTGTTATTAATAACCCATAAATTCGATGCGAAGTCGGATGTAGACTGGTTTCACGCTTAACTTAAACGTATGAGTCTTGACAGAAATTTTACAAGTGTAGGTACAATAAAATTTTAAAACTACCAATCCAAAATGTAGCTTTTGTTAAATGTTTTTATTATTAGATTTATCCGATTCGGTAAAAATCGATTAACATATCGATCTCTTTCGAAAGACATCGTCATCCCTACTAAAGAGTAAATAAACGGTAGTGGCGGAGTGGAGCGGGGGGTGGTAATTCTGAACAAACTGAAATACATAGAATTTACTACTCAAGAGCTGAAATATATCTCACATAACCCATCAGGTTGATGAGCAACGATCTACTTTAGCTGACTTCTTTGTAATTTTATTATCCTTCACTGGTATATTGCCAACGTATATCGTGAGCTTACCCCGGGAGCGCCATTTCGTAATCATTTATTATTAAAATGAACCCTTAGTTTGTATTAAGGGTTCCTTTTATTAATAAGCTCTGCTTTGAAGAGTGGAAAGGGGTGGGAGAAGGGGTTTATTAGTGTGAAAAAATGTGAAAAAAGCAACACTTAACTAAAAACATGTAATAAAATATCAGTACATATTTGAATTGTTTATTTTATCGACCGGTGTGCCGTCGAGTGAGCACCGCACTAGCGGCCCGCCCCACTGTCGCTACAACTGCGGGCGCCACCATCATAGTTTTGTTCTTGTACGTTTGTATTACTTGCTGCAACAAAATTAATTTCATTTAATTTCAGTAGGTACAATCTATACTCTATACATATAAATAAAATTGGAGTGTCTGTTTGTAATATTGAAATAACCGTCTTTTACTACAGGCATATGAATATAAATACGGTACATAAAACATAATAACATTTATTACAATTTTTGTCTGTCTGTTTGTTCCGGCTAATCTCTGAAATGGCTTGACCGATTTTGACGCAACTTTATTTTAGCAGATAGCTGATGGAATAAGGAGTACCTTAGACTATTTTACGATTTTGACGACCTCGGTGGTCTAGCGGTCTAGCACACCGCTTTACGTCCCATGGTCGCGGGTTCGTTTCTCGCACGGCACAAACATTTGTAATCATGAGTATGATTGTTTGTATCGGTCTGGGTGTTTTCTATGTATAATATGTATGTATTTACGAAAAAAAAATATCTATGTATTTGTATCAGTTATAACACAAGCTTTATATAGCTTAACTTGGTCTAGATGGCGCTGTGTGAATTGTCCTGAGATTATTATTATTGTTACTCTAATGCTGTTGGCCGTTGGCGCTTTACAGCTTCACCAAAGAAAGGACTTATGGAGTGGTTAAAGACGAACTTCCGCCTAACGGATACGATTTTATTCTAAAGATATCGCAGGAGTTCGCATCTCGTCTCAGACCGTTGTAATTTGGATCGCCGATTGTATTGCACGGGGGATAGATCTGAGGGGCGACCGGTGGCACCGGTTCATTCATTCATTCATAATTTAAGAGCGACGTTCTTACCACTGCATGAACCGTGTTTTTTTTTTTTATTGGGTTGTTTGGGCTATTGTCAGATGTGTAGCACCTGTAGCACTGCGACCTACATAGATCTATTGTGCTCGCCCTTTTCAGAGTTCGCTACCTAGACCCGTCAGGGACAAGAATTGAAGGATATTCTTAGGAGCGATCGTTTTTATCTCCTCGGGAAAGAGTGTAAACTTTCCAAAGGAGATATTTCGTTTATGCATGAGTGGGCTACAACCACATAGGACGTGAAGCGGCATTTCCTCTTCAGTTTGGCAGAATCTGCAGAAACTTGTCGTGCATAGGCCTAGCTTAGCCATATGCTTGTTCAATTTGCAGTGTCCTGTGAGGGCCCTAGTCATCATGCATATGTTGTTTTTACTCAATTGCAGTAATCTATTGGAGTATTTGGTCGAGAAGCCCGATATAAGGTCTTTTGAATGTATTAATCCTGGCATTTCTTGCCAGTGATTCAGTGCTTCTCGTTTGGTTATTAATTTGAGATGTCCCAGTTTTAGGCAACGAGGCACACCACAGAAGGGTTCGGGGCCCAGTTGGACGGTTTTTGCCCCTAACTTTGCCAGATGGTCGGCATGAACCGTATGACTACTACGTTTATCTGCAGGTGAGATAAAATCTATACATCTATACATATAAATAAAATTGGAGTGTCTGTTTGTAATATTGAAACTTAAATACGGTACATGCACTAAAATAACATTTTTGACATTTTTTGTCTGTCTGTCTGTTGTTGTTGTTCCGGCTAATCTCTGCTGCACCGATTTTGACGGGACTTTTTAGCAGGTAGCAGATTTAATAAGGATTAACTAATGCTACTTTTATTTTAGAAAAATAGCAGAAGGAACAGCTAGTCATTCATAAAGAATCCCTATATTTCTTACCAAAACTAGCTTGATGAGGTACACAGCGAAAGTGAGGAACGATATGGTCATCAGGGCACTCTCTGCCGAAGGGATCTCGACGTGCCCCCGCGCCATTTGCTGGGCAGCGCGGGCCTTCCGACGTATGGTGTTTTTGGGGTCAACGGTGTCATCCGGCCATAGAGTCTCTATTCGATATTCTATTTGTAAAAAAAATAGTCTCGTACATTAAGATCATGTCAATTAAAAATTAGAAATATGAATACTATCTCATAAACGCGAAAGTTTGTGAGTATGGATGCATGTTTGTTACTCTTTCAAGCAAAAACTGTTGATGTTTTGATGAAACTTTACAGTTAAACCATCAATGTAAAACCACATTTTTCTTTCTTTCTTCTTTACATTTAAGAAATAAATTTCATTTCATTTCTCTATGTGTATATTATTATCTTATTCGTTTTGTACCGTTTATAGTATATGTAATTTACATACATTTAAAATTTTAAAATAGTTATAAAATCACAAGAATTTATGTTATGTTTGTAATGTAAAAAATAGAATAATTATAGCAATTATTATTATACACAGTCATTACTAATAAATGATTTTAAACATACTAAACCTATAGAGCTTTCATTCACTTTGTAATATTTTATTATACTCGTCGTGATTCAAAAACAACAACAAACTAACTAACTACAAACTAACAACAACATGTATAACATAAACATAAAAAATTAAATCGTGGTACAGAGTAACACTACAGTATTACGATTTAAGTGATGATCAGTAGTCTAAAAGAAAGTCAGAAAAAAAGAATATGTTCCTTACCAATATTCGCTACAATAGTATTTTTGAGGTTCTCCAAATACTTTATTTTACTGTCAACACTTCTATGTGAATTTTTCGATATTGTTTCGGCAACCACTTTCATAAATTTTATAACATTCCCCATTTTATCTAATGTTTTTTCATTCGTCAGCTGTTCTTCATCATTTAAATCTTCTTTCTCGTTTAAACTACTACCGGGAGATTTCTCAAAGTATAGGTTGTCTGATTCGTCACTAACAGTTGCTTCTGAATCTATATCTTCGAATTCTTCTTTTTTAGTAACAAACTCTGCTTTTAGTGGTCTTAAATCTTTTACGCGTGTCAATTTATCATTTAGTACGTTAATTTCTGCATTAATTGCATTTTTTTCTTTCAAATTATCATTTGCAACTTTTTCAGTGCTACTTATAAGATATATACGGTTTGCAGGACCTTTTAAAGGTCTTTGTAATGATATATCCGGCAATTGATCATGCTTGTAAGATTGAGTAGCACTTTTTAAATTCGGTTTATCCCAAATATCTATATTGGAATAACTGCTAAACTTGTCATTACTTTTGTCGCTGTCGGCTGGAGAAGTGTAGTCCGGACTTGTTTTAATTATAGATTTTGTTGTTATAACTTCTCCATTTTGTACAGGTTTATGTTCGAAATCACTTTGGACATTAGGTTTTACTTTCGTCACACTAGGATTATAATTTTTCAGTCTCTCTTCATACACTTGCGGTCGAGTGTATTGATGTTTTACTGTAGATGCACTTTCGTGAATGTTGTATTCATTTTCTTGAGTACTACTTACAAACTGTAATGAATCTTCTAATTTATATACTTCTTTTTTAAATGCATATTTGTTTTTAAATTCCTCATCAGCTGCTAGAATTTCTAAGGCCTCAACTGCGTCTTTATCAGAATTATAACGGCGATTAGGATGTTTAGTTAAATCGATATTAGGAGCAGACGGTTTAACACCGTTATTTGCTGGTTTTCTAGCAGATTCCATTAAATCAGGCTGCACACGACTTACTATTCCCTTATGCGATACCTTATCAACCGTACCTTTATTCCACATATGTGCGAGTGATTCGTTGACATATGCACTTTCATATGCTTCGCCTTTTCTGTTTACAGCTTCTGTTATAGCGGTAGGGTTGTATGACGGTTTGTATGGCTTCATGTAATGTTGCTGAGAGATCTGCACCCATTCGCACTGTACTTGAGAGATAAAGAGTAGTGTTATAAACATGTTTGTGTGCTGTGTATGCTTAATGTCATGTTTGTATGATGTGTGAACGGTGCTGTAACGTGTCTCGCGCTCGTCCGTTATGTCAGGGCTTGCAAACATTTGGTATCTTCATTGTTGACGAATTAAATGCTTCAACCATTTATCTTAGTTGTTAAATTTGTCTTTTGACTGGTCGTACGCTTCTTTCTTTCCTTCTACCCCTTACCTCATCACGTACTGTTATTTCAGACTACTCTAATGTTGTTGGCCGCAGCTGGCCTTTACAGCTTCACAAAACGCGTTTCACGAGATATTCGCCTTGTTTCAACCGTACCCAGTCAACTCTACTCGTGAGTTCGATTCTCGAACAATACAAACATTTGTATCAATGTATGTGATTGAATATGTTTGTATATATGTTTCCGATGCACATTATAGTATGTATTAAAAAGAACAATTAAGTATTTCAATCATTTGTTTAGTAGATTACTATAGCACAAGCTCGGTTTAGTTTGGATGTAGTGTTTAGTTAGGACAATGTTAACCCAATAAAATTCACAATGCACTATTGTGAATTTTTTTGGGTTAACATTGTCCTAACTTTTCTTTATTCCAAGCTAGAAGCTTGCTTCACCTTCTTCAGCTTCTCCCAGGTTTCTGCAAGAGATTGCTTTAAGCTATATAATATATTAAAAACAACCTTATATAATATATATAAGGTTGTTTTTAATTTAGCACATTTTTTTTAAGAATAAAAATTCTTTATTGTATAAAACCAAAAGTACAATTGGCGAGCTTAATGCCATATGGCATTCTTAATCTTTAGGTACAAATTGAAAGCATGTAGGGCAGTAGTGGCGGAAAATTGTGACAATAAAAACTATAATAGATATAAAAATTACATAGAATAAAATAATATATACACAATAGATATAAATGTGATATATAATGTACATATATATATATATATATATACATATATGAATATAATACTCTTAATTCAACACCAGACGGTTGTAGCTCATTCTGGCGACTCATTAGGTAGTTAAAGTTTCTTTTTAAAAATGGGTTTACTCTGTATTCTGCGCAGGTCTACAGGTAACGCATTCCAAAGGTTAATTGCCGTGACTGTGAAAGAGTTGGACATAAAGGCTGAATGATGGGAAGGAGTAAAGAGAAGGTTATGAGCTGAGTCCGCTCGCTCATAACCTTCTCTTTACTCTCAGTTACGGAGATGTCGCTGATGAACCGAAATCTAAAATAAGATGTTATATATTTTCTAGCCGTCTACTTTAAAGTAGCCGGCCTCCGGCTTCCAGCCTGCGCTGACGCTGAGTGGTGTCCCCAGCAGAATGCCGGGTAAGGAGTGCAAGGTCGAGGCCCGGGCAAGGAGCGCAAGCTCGAGGCCCGAACCCAGCAGTTCATAAGAACTGCTGCTGCATGTTTATATAGTTTTTAGTGTCTATATTGTTACCGCTATTATTTATGTTTATGTTGTGTTCTTGTAGCAGCAGCGGGAAAGAAGGAGGTGAAATGATGAGTCCAGATTGTTGTTATGTACATATTTATAATTACGAAATATTTACAATGAATATATAGGTATGTACAAGAAAGTGATTCGGTCTCGAATGACAGGCCTGTTATTCTATTCGTTTTTCGTAACTAGGCAACGGTGTTGCCGCGCGATAATAGTTAATTCGCCACAAGTTTTTTAAAATATGTTTGTGTGGACTAAGAGTTATATTATTAATTTAAAATATAAAACTGTAAGTCACAGTGCAGTAGCCCAGCCCTATTATCCGCTCCGTGGCCACGTCACCTGTGAGACTGTGTCATTCGCCCAGGTGTAACGATACCTTATCATAACCACCGGTAGGTACATGCCTTGCTCTCAACAGAAAGTTGTTGGTTTATCACTGAATATTGAATTTTTAGTGCACTATCATTCAGAAATGATTTTAATTAATTAAGATGGCAAAGATGACGGCTTTTGACATATAATAATAATATTATCTCCCAGGACAATTACACAGAGCCATCGTAGATAGGTATTTTTTTTTGTAAATTCATACATAATATGTATACATAGAAAAATACAAGTGTCTCTGCCGTGCGAGGAAACGAACCTGCGACCATCGGAAGTAAGGCGTGTGCTGAAACCGCTAGACCGCGGAGGCTGTCACGCGTATGTAACATGAATACCACGGACATTATGGTGTTGCCATTTAAGAACTAAGACCCATACCCTGTAAATTTACTGCTTTATTTCATACTCCAAACACTCACAAAGCAAACTGTTTGACTGCTGATATACACAGATATAAGAACAGACCGTGTATTTCGGATAACTTTGTACAAAGTATAACTTGGTATATTTACCAGAACTTTTTACTTCAAAGCAAGGTCATGATAAATTACTTATTACGATTTTCAAAGACCAACAGAATTTATTTACATATATATATCTATTTCAGTGCACAAACATTTGTATCCATGAGTATGATTGTTTGTAGATAAATGGTCTAGATGGTGACGATTATTATTATTATAATGGAAATAATAATATGGCATTATATTAAAAACGGCATTTATTATTTAAATAATTAATAGTAACACAATTTGTAAATCGATTTCGTCATAAAATTAACTTTTCACCATATAACATCAATATAGGGGCCGCGCGTTGTGCTGCCATGTCGAAAAAAGTTCCTTCTCCTTACAGAGAAATTGACAATTCAAGCAAATCTTGACTTATCTATGAAATTAGTTACAAATACCATTGATATGGCTGTCTATGCGCAGTTTCCTTTGCCTTTCCTTTAAAGAGTAGACAGAACAAAAAAAAATATTTATACCAAGTCGTAAATGTCACAGAACAGAAAGCTATAAAAGGCGGGAATTTTTGCGCGAGCAAATATGAATGTTTATTTAACAGAAATTTATATAATCCTACGATAATTATAAAAGACAAAAATTAAGTATCAAACATATGATATACGTAATTTGTATTTGAGCCCAATTCAATAAAAATAAAATTATTTTATAGTTTCCATTACTCTGTGCATTTATAACTTTTAAATGTAACTAATTTCATTGTGTAAATCATCATCATTCATGTGATTGACATTACTGAACAATATTTGCACCTATAATTTGTACAGTCAGACATGTATAGATATAAGAATACTAAAAACTGTGTTAGAAGAAATTGTCTGCACGATGTCAATAATGTAACCAAAGGTTTTAATACCACCACAGTAACATAGTTCTACAATTGTCTATTACAATTTGCTTTTATGGCAAATAATTAATATTTTGTATTGAATTTAAATATTTGATTAATTAAATGCTTGTAACAGCACAACACAAGACCTACACAGTCAGTCAACAATCATAACATTAGGTACAGTATACACAGATTATGTAAATTATTTTCCCGCCTCCAAACAGACCAGAGACAAATCTCTCATTTTTATATTATCCTAACCGTGCTCGCGGCACCACCCGCGACACGGAAAATACCCGAATTTGTAGAATTAAAGTTAAATATTATGCGTGTTAATTCTAATTATAACTAACATCTATATGTTATTTATATTTATTTTGACGTCTGATTAGGTAGTGAGGTGGTCTAAACACTTTATTAAGGGCTGCATAGATATGATTAAAAGCAATCAGCACTCATTAGATTACAATAAATGCATGTAATACGTGCTCACGAAACATTTCAGTTATATTTTTCATGAAATAGACACAGCAACCTTGTAGAAAGAGATAAGATTACATTTAATTAATGTACAATTTTCACGGAATATTAGGCATGTAAAATATTGGCCAAACTATAGGCTGTGGAAAGCTGAGGAAAATGCTTGTACCTTACCCCTCTCACGAGGGGTAAAGTACTTACTTAATTTTGGTAATATTTATCAAATATTTGCAGAGATTGAAATGAAATGAAATGTATTTATTTGCATGAAATATGTTATAAATATTAAAAGAATGTCAGTATTAATAAAATTGTCCACATATTTCGCCATTATTTTGGCATGCAAAAATTTTTATAATATACAAATTATACAATAGATTTAATGAATTTACATTTAAAAATTGTATTATATCTCAAATATCTATCTATAGATATCTATCTAGATACATAACACTTATTTTTGATGTTATTTATTATTCTCAATTGAGCATGAAGTCTGAAGCACAACTAACTTACTCACAAATTAATGTACTAAACTGTATATTATATATAAAATAAAACTGTAAACCAGCCCTAAATGAAGTGTATTCACCATTAAATTTGAAATTCCTCTTAAATATAACAAACATTAAATACTACTTGGTTTTTATAATTCTATCTGGTCCAAATACATTATGTGCTATGCAGTTTATAATTAATTATGCATTTTCATATATATATGTGTGGACAACAATATATACTTATGTGTAACAAAGTTTATTTTACAATCAGCAAAATTTTCACAATATAGAATAAAGTTTTGTTTCAATATTCAGTTCTCTTATATTGAAGCTATTTGGCACTGTACAAGAAATATATATATATATAGAGCAGAGTTTTAATTATGTTTATTTCAATAAACACAAGAGACCTCTTAACTTTTTGAACCCCTTAATAAAACAAAAAGTCGGTGTAAGAGAGTTGGTTGAATTTATTATTTTTAATTCATAATGTTTATGTTCATAAATGAGCAGAAATGTGTTTGATCAGGGGTTCCAGGAGATTGAGGACCAGGTTTAGAGATACCGGTATCCTTTATACCTGATTTATTACGTAAATGGTAAAAAATATTTTTACCACAGACTGTCAATAAACAATACTAATGACTAAATAATCCACAGATTATTAATTATTAAAATTACACGTTACCATAAACAATTCGTCATTCATCATGTAGTAACGAGAGCAGTTACTAACCATAAACAACCGAATAGAGTCAAAACAGTTGTCGCGAAAAAAAAGGTTTACTAAAGTTTAAAAATACTATTGTTTTAATTATTTAGTAAATATCTAAAAGGAATTATACTTTTATGTCTGAACAAATTTATATTAATCGTTAATGGTATAAATTGTAATATTGTATATACTTCTTCGGTACATAAATGTAAGTACAAAATCGTATCCATTAATCACGTGAGGCTTGAAAGGTGGTTCGTGATTTTTGTCCAACCCCCCTCGGGTTGGACAAAAATCACGAAATATCACAAGGGGGAGGGGGAGTGTAGTAAGATATCACGTGTATTTATTTTTTTCTGTTTTTATGGCAATCAAAAACAACGTGCAATCTAGTCTAGACATTTTTATCATGATCCTTAATTTCAGAGTAAAATAGAATTATAGTTTATACTTGTATTTAAAGATGATAATCTAAAAATTTTAAGATTCTTTGCAGGCACTAAAAATACAC